ATGAAAGGACATCACTTTTGCCTGTGGACAAAAAGCAAACAAGGGAGACACGTGTTGGATTTATATGGAGTAAATACTTCAGGGGAAAGTTTTCTGTCTTTTTGCTGTGACAGAGATTTCTTGGACACACATCACATGTTGTAAACTATCTCATTCCAGATCTCGGTCCCTGCACTCACTCCTTATCCTTTCGTAAGTTCTTTCCCCCTTGACTGCACTCTGGACATGTGTGAAGCATTTAACATCACAGAAAAACAGAAAAAAAACACAAGTTCCCAGTTACTCTCCCCCCTCTTCTCTCTGATAACAACAGTTGAATCCTGCACTCGATTTACACCCGGCTTTGTTTCCCCTGCAAATATTTTTCCTCCATCCCACTGCAAATCTGCCACAGTGAGACACAGTGCAGAAACGCCTCTGTACGCCACTATAGAGATGCTACATTCCAGTCTTTTGTCCTCCACGGGCTGTTCAGAGCAGCTGCTTTAAGACTGGCTGCCCCTTTTTTATATCTTACCTTGTTGTTTGGGGGGGAATGGCAGCGAGGCCCTCAGAGAGCATCATACACATTCCTTCCCCTCGCCCTCCTCCCTTCACTCTTGATTGCCGCCCTTTTCTAAGGACATGTATGTTGTTTAATGTCCACAGCCCCTGGAGACAATGCCCCACTTGACCTTTGACCCCAGTGAGGAAAAGGCAGGCTTAATCTGATGTTGAGATCCTCCACTGCCATTGTCTGTGAGGCAGGGGACCCAATGTGGCTCTAGACTAAAGAGGGGGGGTCAGTCAATACATCTGCACACCAATTTGTTTGTCACATATAACCCCACAGACCTCCAGCACACACAGAAACACAGCCCACCCAAGGAAGATGACGCTCCCTCAACTTGTCTCCTGACCCTGTTTTCACCCTGCAAACTGTCACTCACACTGCTCATCCCTTTAACACCAGAGAGGAAACTAATAGGTCTATAAGCTCCTGACCACTTGATCAATAGCAGGTTTAAGTGCACATTTAATTACAGAAGGTCAACAACAGAAGTCCACATTTTAGATGCCTGGAAAAGGCTTGTAAAACTGATTCCATCCATCCCTAAAAGCACAGTTTGACATTTTAGTAAATACACTTATTCTTGCTGTGAGTGAGATGAAGAGATTGATATCATTCTAATGTTTGTACGATAACTGAGAAGCTGGTTAGGTTAGAGTAGCATGAAAACTGAAAACGGGAAAAAGTTAGCCTGACTGTCTTCAAAAGTAAGTGATTGTGTATTTTTTATGCCTTTTGTGCAACGTAAACATAGGATGTTTATTAGTGAACATTAGAGCTGCTATCCCGGGCAAGAGACACAGCGACATCTTGGTAAAAAACAACTCCTTTTTGTGGCACCATTCTGGCTGGAAGTGCATCGATGTCTCTGTAAAAAACAACCACTTTTCATGGCATCATCCTGGCAGAAAACGCAGCGATGTCTTGATTAAGAACAACCGCTTTTGTGGCACTATCCTGGCAGGAAAAGCAGTGATGTCTTCATAAAAAACAATGGGTATTTGTGGCATCATCCAGGCAGGAAACACAGCAACACGTTGGAAAAAAACAACTGTTTTTCGCTGCACTATCCTCTGTGGTAAAACAGCGACAGCCTCCACCTCCTGATGAGAAAGTCAGCTCATATACTTGAACTAGGATTTAGAAATGTTTATAAGATACATTCAGTCTGGGACATTCACATGAAATGTATCCATGGATTGCAGAAACATGCCAACATTTTCTCCTGGTGACTCGGCTGCTGTACATGAAGCTGCATGCTACAGTAACATCAAAAAGATTTGTAGTCTTGGTTGCAGATGGTAATTTCTCGCTGCTTCTGGATCATATTCCTGCTGGAACATTAAAGCATGTAACTTGTTCTAGCAGACACCCTAAGTACAAGTTGGATTCCAAAGTGAGCGTAACAAGTCCCCTTTAATGAATAGATAGGAGACTGATGCATGATGTTACTTTTTGTACTATGCTGCAAGACAAATTTCCAGGAGGACAATAAAAACATACCTGATTGAGCACTTAAAATATTTGGCAGACTGTACCATTAAAAGCGCTGACTAATTTGACCTTGTAGAGTCTGTTAATATCTGAATTTATTAATAGATAACTATCTGCAATTAATACCAGGAAAATGGAGTAAAGAGTACACACATTATGACACAAAAATGTCAGTAGAATGCCAGTAAAATTACCAAAAACAGTAATAGTATCAGTAAATTCCACACTTTAATGAGAGGTTAAGTTCAAGACATTTTAATTTGCCTGTTACTCTACACATTGTACAATTCACACAGTATATAAGAATAGATTAATTTGGTTAAACAATTTTACTGATTATTTTACTGTGTAAAAATACATTATCAATTCATTTTCTGCTGTAATAAGGTTTGATGCAGGAAAACAAAGAGATCACAATGAATTTATCTTACTTACAGTAACAATCAGTATAATATATTATTTTCAGACTCCAGTAAATAATTCAAAACAAAATATAAGAGGCTAAATGTGTCACTAATGCTTTAAACAACAGTAGAACCAAAAAAAAGGGTTCACCAAACAAAGTTTTGTTTTCTTTTGGTGAATAATTATTCCTATGTGTGTAGTATACATTAAAACCACCAGTAATACTACAGTATTTCACAGTCTGAGTGCAGAACATAGCTGTCACGTTTTGTTACCAAAACATGTGTTTATTTGAACCTGAACATCCAGATGTGTGACTCATGGCGTCTGGAACAAAGCGGACAATAAAAAAAAAACAAAAAAAAGAAATAACTTATTATAGAACATAAATTATTAATTCCAAATATTTACACATGGTACCTTTGAACATCAGTGCATCACAGACAAAATTATGCATCTCCTCAATGAAACAGTAAACTGGTGAGAAACCCTGTGCTGTTTTTTTTTTTTTTTTTTGGAAATGTACTGACGGTGGTTCAATCTGGAAAAAAAAGATGACTTCATAGTCACTCCAGCACTTGAGGACGTTCCCTGAGTTGTAGGTCATGTCAAGTGCTGAAAATCTGCTTTTTAATCCTAGCAGAGAAGTCAGTCAAGACGTCCATTATGGGAAAAAAAATGTTTACCTGATGTTTATCATTCAGTTTCTAAGAAAACTAAAAGAAGAAACAGGCCACAAAAGTGTAATCTGTCAGTTTGGTTCAGTCATCAAGTGTTCTACATTTAAAAAGAAGGAGTTTTTTTTATTATCGTTAAACCCCTGTAATGAATTTGGACATAAAGTTACACAGGGCTTTCCACAGAGACTAATCTATTATTACATATATTAGAAGTTCATGGGGGAAAAATTTCGATACAGCATGCATGGCAATATCGTATCAATACACAAATGTCAAGTACTGATTTCTTTTTTTTTTTTTAGAATTCATAATATTGCAAATACAAATTAAACTTTTGGTAGCCTACTAAAATCAATTGCTTTTCCAGTCCACTAGATACATTTTGCTGCAAGAAAAATAATTAAAGTGAGATGAACAGACTGAAAACTTTATCTTATTAGATAAAATAGATGTTGACGGGGTGATAATTTGCAGTTAAATCGTAATATATGTTGTTGCAATATATAGCATATCTCAAAATTATGTTTAAAATTATAATAATATTGTATTGTGACTTAAGTATTGTGACTATGACGTATTGTGGGGCCTCTGGTGATACCCATCCCTAAAAGCAGTCCATGAGAGTTTAACATAGTCTCTAACATGGTCTCATGGGCCAACTTATGGGTGGCAAAAGGAAAAAAAGTGGTGTATTTGTTTTATTTTTACACTGGCAATAGTTTTATAAAACTAAAGGACTAATTCCTCAAATGGAGGATATTTAATGTCTCTTTTAAAGGAATACTTCAGCATATTTGGAAATGATTTGCTCTCTTGCTAAGATCTAAATAATAAGATTTATACCACTCTTACGTTTGTACGGCTTCAGTCAGGAGGCAGCTAATTTAGCTTAGCATTATGACTGAAAACAGGAGGAAACAATTTTTCATTAGTTTTTATCTTAATTTTGTTTTTAATTCAGTTTAGTTTCAATTAGTTTCCAGAGTTTGCTCGTTTCAGTTTCATTTTAGTTTTGTTTTTATTAGTTTCAGTATAAGCTTTAGTTTGTCTTTGTATCACAATATGGGGAATATTTGTCAGGGGCAAGACTGAAAAAGTTCAGAATAGGTGTTACAATACAAACACAGCACTTTGTGAAGGCAACTGACTCACAGTTATGTAGACATCCCAGTTTCAAACATACACACCAATGCCTCCTCGTTCTTGTTGTGTTGACACATTTGAACAAATTGACAAAGACTAAAACTAAAGACATTTCCTGTATATATTTTATTTTATTTTTCATTTGTATCTATTTTTCTAAATTCTAGTTTCTTTTTTTAAAATTTCAAATAACTAAAATGGTTTTTCACACCCACTTTTACTTTTTTGGTTGAGTTTTAGTTATAACTATATATATTAACTATATTAACCTTGATACCAGCACAGCTCAAGCTAACTGGTTTATTGATATACTTGAATGTATTAAACTTGGGTGAAAGTTAAGTGTAAAAACTACAGGGTTTGGTTTTGAGCAGGACTTTGTCACCATCAGACAGAAACAGGCTAGCTGTTTCCCCCTGTTTACAGTTTTTATGCTAAGCTAAGCTAGCTTCATATTTACCATACATACAGGTGAGTGGTGTCAAATCTTCTCATCTAACACTCAGTTAAGACAGCGAATAAGCATATATGCCAAAATGTTGAAATATTCATTTAAAGGTCCAGTGTATAGGATTTTGGGGGGATATATTGGCTGAAATGGAATATAATAAATGTGTTTTCTTTCGTTTATAATTACCTGAAGGTAAAAATGATTGTGTTTTCATTGCCTTAGAATGTTTCTACAGTAGCCCAGAATGGACAAATCAAACACTGGCTCTAGAGAGGGCCATATGCATTTTTGTTTCAGCCACTGTAGTTCTCCTACATGTTTGGCACACAGGAGATGTTTCAGTTGGTTGCAATCTGCAACTTTACCACTAGATGGCACTAAATCATGCACACTAGACCTTTAAACCTTTTGTTGATTTGGTGAAACAGAAGATAAAGAGTTTCCAACAAATTAATCTCTCATATATTCATGAGTATGCTGTAACATACAGAGAAGAACAAGAACACAAACGTTTGAGGTATTGAACATGACCTTGTTGGGTGCATGGTTAGAAAATGTATCACTAAGTTTTTGAAAGTCTTCATCTTTCCTTGTTTCAGTTGCAGCCTCACCACCACACACACTGTAATGCTGTTCAATTCACACAAACCAGAGAGCCTGACGAACAAGGAGATGGTCAAAGTGAAGCCAGACCTACTACCTACAGCCACAAGACTCAACCACCATGTCCTCGTACTGTTTGTAGACCACATTGTTTCCTGAGTCGATGTAGAGGATGCTGATGGGGCTGAGTTTGGATGGGGCGCAGCAGCTAGGCGGCATGTTGCTGGGGTTCATTGAATTCATCAGAGTCTGGATGATGGCATGGTTGGTGGGCTCCAGGTGGGAGCGCAGGGGGAAGTCACACACTCCCTCGCAGTGGTACGCCTCATAATCCAGCGGGGCGATTATCCAGTCGTCCCAGCCAAGATCTCTGAAGTTAACGTGCAGCGGCTTCTTGCTGCACCTGGATTTGGACTTCTTGCCGTGTCTCTTCCCATGGCGTGTTTTGAATGCAGCCGTCCTTCTTCTCCTGCTGGCTGTGGTGACAGGGCCCCTGTCTTTGGTCTTCCTCTGTAGACCCAGCAATTCTCTCCCCTCTCTCCTCTCACTGAAGAGAGTCTGCCTCTTCTTCGACCTAGTGAACACCACTAAGATGGCTTTCTTCTGCTGAGGCCTGCCATGCCTGTGCAAGCCCAGAAGGTGCAGGTCCAGCTCCCTCTCTGGGTTGTCCAGCATGCCCCTGAGCTCCAGGCAGAAGTGCTTCCCCTTGCTCAGGTGATGCTGCTCTTTGAATATTTCCCACACATCCAACACCTCCCACTTCGGCCCCTGGGAATCCTGCAAGTCCAGTGTTTTGGAGTCGAGCAGCTGCTGGTCGTGGCAGGAGAGGAGCTGGATGTCCACAGGCTCTGTTTCCGATATCCTGAAATTCCCAGACACTTTGGTGTATATTCTGAGCTCAGCTCCCAGCACCTCCGCCTTTTTGGAGAGCGTTGAGACGTCGAACAGATACTGCTGTCTCCTCAGAGGGGAGAGTGGGAGGTCATCTGTGGAAAGCATTAAAACAGCAGGGTCAGATACATTCTCACTGGACGATGTGCATACCACAGAGATGCGGAATCTGACAGGAAAAATCCTACTATTGTCTGCACTGAATTAATCTGGGAGACAAAGTATGAGTCATGGGTGTTCAATCAATCCTACCTGCATGCACATACACACACACATACACACACACACACACACACACACACACACACACACACACATATAAATACACTGAAGCTCCACATACCTTCCCCATTGTCCACAAAACTTGCAATAGTGTTTGCAGCTTTTGAAGAGCGAAAGAAACTGGCGTTGAGTCCCAGTCTCTCCGCCGTGGAGAAGGTCTTGTAAATAGACAGCATGTAGTCATGAGGCTCAACTGAGTCTTTAGATGTTGTTTTACTGTTTCTATCGATGGATGGCGGCGCGTAAAACTCCTTGAAGTACTTAGAAGCGTGTTGTCCATCAAAAATCCTCGTCACCTTGCTGCTCTTTGGCGCAGCTGGAGGAAAAATAGCAAGAGTATGAAAACCAGGGATTTCCCTAACAAACACCAGAGCGCCGCAAAGAAAAGCGAAGTGATAGAGATCCATCCTCTGCTCTCGCCCTGAATCAGAGCCGGAGCCTGAGCTGTGGCTGCCGGGGTGGGGGGGACCACGGGCAAAGCCGGAGCTGAACTCTGCATCCACTCCGCAGCAAGTGGCTGCTCCGCAAAGTGCGCACAGCTCTGGAGGACAGGCGGTGCGAAGTTTTTTTAAAAAAAAAAAAAAAGGGGGGGGGGGGGGTTACACGCCCACATTGTAGTTATCGTTAAGGCTAAATGGAGGGCGCAAATTAAGGCTGTAAAACTAATTGTTCCTCTGACGGCTGTCACCTCCCTCCTGGGGAGGCAGATGTGAGCTGAAAGGACGCTTGACAGCTTCTGGTGCATTTGCACATTTTAGTTTCAAACACAAAACCTGCTTGTACAAACCACAGTCACTCTTAATTTGGAGATTTTTTTGGCTCAGTTGTAAATGTTTCCCCCGTTCAAGCAGAGGTTTAAATATCACTGCTGTTTGGGTCTTGGGTGTAGGATTTACCGCGGACTCTTCCGCCCTCTAGTGATGCGCAGACATATCGTCCTGCTGCAGAAGAGGAGACATTCAGCCAATCAGCTTCCTTCAGCACCACGGACAGAGCCTCCACTCAGCGTTAGAAAACTTTTGTCAATAAACCCTTAAAATCTAATTTGAAATAAATAGTGTCTGATGATAGTTCAACCAAAGGTGCTATAAGAGGTATAACATGTATTGTTGTCCAATTCACCTAAGAATTAAGATAATAATAACAATAATAACAATAATAATAATGATAACAACAACTTTTATTTATATGTCACTTTTAAAGCTTAAACACAAAGTGCCTTCCAGGTTAAAAGATTTACAGAATAAAGATAAAAATAAATAAATGAAGAAAGAAATCAAAATCAGAGACTGTCTGATATACAAAAAAGTTAGAACATCAGCGCACATATATCAATCAGCACTGAGCCCATACATAAAATAATGGATGTGCAAGCGCAAACAAACTAACAAACAAATAAACACAAAAACCTCACACAGCTGTATTAGACACCCATAGAGAGAAGTGTGATTTGTTTTTCTTTATAAATACCTGCCAAAATACCTCTCTATGCACCAGTAACTGAAGAGCTTAAATGCTGGAGAAATGAATTCACGATGCATTATTGTCCAGTCTCAGTTATTTAATTTTGTCAGTTCATCTAATTACATTCAAGTATTTGTTTCATAACAGAAAACAAGCAAACATTAGGGTTCCACAATATTATTGACACATCATTCATATTAACGAGAAAAGCTTTTTAATTGAACTGAAGATTTTGAAAGCAGGATGTTTACTTGTGTCACTGTCTATTTTTTGTTACATTGTGGTGGTGTTTATAAGAGACCAGTGTGTAGGGTTAAGTAGAATGTAGCGGTGAGCGAAAGGCGCCGTGAAACATGCCAGCCCAACACTGCAGCCTCTATGGAAGAGGAGCTGCTCCCTCTGTAAATATAAACAGTTCATTCTAGATATAAAATAAACCCCTCAGCAATTTTAATTTTCAGGTGATTATATTTTCAGTAGTGTATACTTACATTTATTATATACAATTTCTGCCATAATCTACTTATAAGTCCCCCTAACATCTTACACACTTAGCATGTCAGTAAATAATAAGCACTTATCTTCCCCACAGCCTGCTCACTCAAAAATGTTTGGTAATATTGATGACGAGAACTGAAAAATGTTGGTCTAACAATACAGTGGTTCTAGACATACGTGTTTCTGGAGTTTTGACCTCTTTACTATTCTTTTTCTTCTCCATGCATAAGTAGTTGAAGTTGTGGCAGAAACCCCCACTGTGCTTCTACAGTATTAGCACTGGCTGCAATTATGGCTGCTGTTGGTTTGAGGATAGAGACAATGCCAGACTGCTTCATGATCGAAGGTTATTGCACCATGAGGGGCCATATCAATCAGCCCTTTGTAGGTAAAGAACACCTCACTCTGCAGGAGAAGAGAGTTTGGTGTTTGGCACCGCAGCTCAGTGCAGTCTAGCACCACTTGAGTATCAGGGTAGTTCTGAAAAACATCTGGCAGGTGAGCCTTCACTGTCTCCTCAGACAGCCAAATGCCCACAGCTCCATACAGAACGTTAACCCAAGTATTGATGATGCGGCTCACAGTTGACTGGTGGATTTTGAATCTGTGGGCCAAATCTTTCTGCATCAGACTCAAAGACAAATAGGCCATGGACAGGAAAAACACATCAATGGGTTGAAAGAACTGTAAAAAGAAAATATAGCACATTTTATTTACTTTTGGTACTCATCACACAGACAGACCATAACTGACACAAAGAATCAGAATTCAAATAAATAAATTTGAATAAAGAGTAAATTTTGCAGTTCCAATAATATCATATGAGACATTAAGATTTTTAAGACCTAACTGTCAAACTTCATGCAGATATGAACCACTACAATATGTTGTACTGCAAACTAATACAATGCCAAATATTCAGAATCGTATTTCCCACTCCATGAGGATAAGAGGATAATAAAGTTACCGTTGCATTGACAGGGTGAGGGACCTCATTATTCCGAAGTGCAGTCCATGCTCTTGTCATGTGCACCATCTCGTGTGTGGCTGGCTCAACCTGCCTCCAAAAGGCCATCAGGTGGGAATGACTTGCAAACCTGTGGGACATATGAAAATGTGTAAGGTGTTTTGTATTTTCCTCTTCTTGGAAAGCACTTTGTACTTTCAGCTCGAAAAGTGCTCTACACATAAAGTTATTATTATTATTGTTATGTTACTACTGGAATGGTAAAATGTATTTTTTTCAAATAAATGTATTAAAATTCTAATTATTAATGCCAGTATAGTCTGTCTGTGTAAAGAGTAACAATAGTAAATAAAATGTACTGTATTTTCCTCTGCTAACTTTCTGTTTACTGTACCTGGAGCTGTAGGCATTTGGCTGTCTGAGGAGACCGTGAGGGCTCACCTGCCAACTACTCCGATACACAAGTGGCGCTGCTGCACCAAACTCTCTTCTTCTCTAGAGTGAGGCGGTCTCTCTCTGCAAATGTGAGGAAACTAAGAAAAAAATAAACTAAGCTGCACATTGCGGCACACAGCAGTAGAGCAGTAGAGTCCTGAAGTGTTGTCTTTGAAAAGACACTTTAGCACGTTTTGAGGTCTTGACATAAAGTAAACATAGATACCCAAATTGGAATAAAATACACAAAGAAACGAAACAAAATGTAGCTACATGAAATTAATGTAGCCTAGTTTAGGCCGTTTTAAACTACATGACTAGCATTCCTGCACCAGCATAGGGATTTATGCTCGGCGGAAGATGTAAAGCGGCCACACTTAACCGTCATGAGCTGCCGTGCATGATACGCCCTCCTAAACACGTTATCTGCTCTCAAGTGGTCACAGTACGCAACTACACCTCTTAACCGTTACAGGTTTTATTTTGATAGTGTTGACAGGAAGTATCGCTGTAGAATTGGGTCCAGCTTGACGGTAGAGTGCTGTTATATACTCATTGTGACCGCAAGAGGGCGTAAACACTCGTAATCTGCATGACAGGTTGTTTAACAAACAGCCAGCTCGCAAATCCATATTTTTTAAAATAACTCCTAACCTCCATGTTCCTCCATATTTATAACAAAGAAGGTAAAATATGGACTCTGTTCACCAGAAGTCTTAATACGACATTTGTGATTTTTAATTGTTGTTTGTTGTGCTCTCGACATCATTGTAAATGAAGGCTCGGCCTCAATGATTCCTCGAGATTTAAATAAAGGTTAAATGAAAATGAAATTAAATGAAATGAAATTTATTATTATTATTATCATTATTATTCTATTTTTTAATTGAAATAATGATAATAATAATAATAATAATAATCAAACAAATGCACATGTCACTTATACTTACCAGTAAGGATAACCACAGTGCAAAATTCATTACATGATTTTTGTTTTAACTTTTTTTTATATATATATTTAATTAAGTGGTTATATTAAAAATTCAAATTATTAAAAGAAAAAAAAAACATTCTCAAGTTGCAAAACAAAATAAAAATGGCAGGGGGTTTAGGTTAAATAACTAGTAGAAAAGGAAACAGAAATGTTGTTGTTTTTTTTTTTTTGAAAACTAAAGGCACATTTATAATAGTCTCAGTATGCTATTTATGTAGGCTTATGTACGTTTTTATTTTGAAAATACTTACCGGAAGTTTCCCTGTGTAACTAAGTCTACCTTGACACCAAAGACTTTAATGATGACGTGAAATTAGCGCAGAGGTGTAGTAACGCAGTGTCACCACCAGAGGGCAGTATTCCATTGCTCCTCTGCTAGGTATCAGTTTAACAAGTGTAAATACCATGATATATGATTAAGACTATATTATTTCTTCTAATTAACACTTTTTAAAATAAAACGTTCAAGTACACAGCACAGTTGTGCACTTATCAACTACTTGATGTCTTATTATACAAATTGCCTAGCTAGCAAGATGGCTACCAAAAAAATAGCGATCATTTTTGGTTCTCATGTCTCCTAGTCTCAAAACAAAACAAAATATAGCATACTGCGGCTGCCGCTCGTTCTGTACTATGAACGTAAAATAGTCAAAAACATACTTCTGTACAGCATTTCTGTATCTATTTATCTGCTCTTTAGATAGATTTTATCCTGTAGCTCACCACAACAAAAATAAGAATAATAAAAACCAAACAACAGTATGTAACATGTTTAACAAGTTGCAAAATAAAACATGACCATACCAGCTGTGACAATCATAAACCACGGTCACAGCACGTAATCTCACGTCTATTGCAACAGTATTATTGTGAAAGGGTTTACCGGAAGTGTTTTTATGTTATTATGTCTAATTTGATAATAGTGTTGTCATTACTACTTGTGGCCAGCAGAGGGCGTCACGACTATATGAACCACATGATTATGATTATTTATAAAGTTTTAAATATCTAATACATATAAAATATCAATTATAAATAAGAATGTAAATGTATAATATTTACAAATGATCTTGATTATACAATCTATGAAATTAACGCATTAACATTAATGTAGACTTAGTTAAAAACTGAGTGAGATTTAGTTAAAAACTGAATAATGTTAGAGGCAGGATTATTAAACAGCCAGCTCGCAAATCAATGATTTTTAAAAAGCATTTCTAACCTCTGTGTTCCTTCATATCAAGGAGAAAACATTTAAAAGGAAAGAAATAAAGAAACGAACAATAAAACAACAACAAAGGCACACTTAAGGTACATCTATTATAGTCTTATTATACTATTATGGCTATATTATAAAATATTTATTTAATATTTATTATAAAACAATATAATTTAGTTAATGTAATAATTAGCTAAAACAAAGCTTTCGTATTTTGTGTTCATCCAAAAAGTTATGTTGAACATGTTTTGGGTTTATACTATTCTATCGTGTTTCAGCTTGGCCAAGAAAAGAGGTGAATAGTTTATCTTAGTTTATCTTAATACTACAGTACATGATAGCAGATGGAACGTATGGAGGGAAGACTGAAAGGCAGATGTATCATTAGAGGATTGGGAGTCTGTATGTACTAAGGCCCACACTCAATCAATTATTACCTAACTAAGACTGTTATAGTGCAAATAGCTTTTGCAAACAGATTTAACAGCAGCTAAATTAAACACAAATAATGGGTATATCCCTGCTTTATGCATAACGTACTGAGGTGAAGGGGATACTGTCGTAAGAAATAAAAATGTGTTTATCAACAAAAAATAGAATTTATTGAAAAGAGAAAATAGTTTAACATCAACTTCCTTCATCTTGTTACAACAGAGTCAAGTAAAACACCTATTGCACCGTTTAAAAATAGAAAATCTATTTGGATCTTACACCTGACGCATCATCATAAACAGAGATTTACACACAATACAACAAAAGAACCCAAAAGAGACAGAAACAAAGTGAGGGGGTGCTTCCAATAATTTCTTTGGTTAATGTATAAGTGTTGAGATTTCTTACCCACATCCCCAAAACTTTTTTAAATATCTTACCACCAAAAACCAGCCATGTGCATAATATAATGAAGGACTACATGTTTTAATCAGCAGACTTGCACGTGTTGAGGTGAATATAAGTTGTATGCTTCATAAAACATAAACATAAAACTCCACAGAACCACCTAACATATGGGGATGCTGTCTGAGCAGCAGGCCACAGAGTAGATGACGCTGACCAGACACAGACTGCCAGCAGACACAGCAGTGCTGGAGCCGAAGATGCTGTTGTCCTCAGTGGTGGTGGGCGGGGTGGATGCGGACTCGGTGCTCGTTGATGGGCTCTCGGTGGTTGGAGTGTTTTTGACGGAGAAGCCGCGTGACTGGGCGCCCCATTCCTTTAGGGTGAAGACCATGGTCAGGTTCTCACCTGCAGGGAGAGAACGAGTCATTATTGTGGTGATTCATGCTGCATGTTTTTTCATCATGGCCCAAGTTGAAGAACTTTTGCACTGATGTATTTCTTTTTATAAAAACAGTTTTGGAGATATTCTTAAATAAATCCCTACACTAGAGTACTCAGTGTATTTCTTAAAGATTGTGGCCACTCATTACATTTTATTTTGGTTACAAGAAGAAAATGTATAACTGGATATTGGCTCAGTGATGATTCATTTCCAAAAGGCAAATGTAGAGGCAGACGTGTGTGAAATGAAAAAAACATTTGGGACAAAAATGACACTCACTACTTAGAAATAAGGTTTTAGGCCCTTTGAACAATATAAATGAAACACAAATTGTGAATATTAATGTGTAATAATGCTCTTTTGTCTTGTCTTTTTGTTTGACCAACAGTCCAAAACACAAAGATATTCAGATTACAGTGATATAAGACAGAGAAAAGCTGCAAATCCTCAGAGATAATAGTCAGCGTTTTTGCTTGAAAACTAACTGAAACGACTAACTGATTATTAAAAGTTGTTGCAGATTATTTTCTTGTCAGTCAGCTAATTATTTCAACTCTCTTCTGCAAAGCTTGATTTCATCTCAGAGGAGAATTCAGTTCATTTCAATGTCACACTATCTGATATTGTTCTGGACATTATTTATACTTTTTTGAAGTGTGTGACAGTTTATCTTAGCCTATTTATGTTGTTTGTAAATTGTTGTAACAATGGTTTTGTGCTTCCTTTTTAGCCACAGATTGTAATGTCAGTGAGACTTTCTAACTGTTTAAATAAAGGAAAATTAAAAAGGGGGACAAAAACCTGCCAGAACCCCAGAGTTTATCAGTAAATATTTCTTTTTGTAGGACTGATTTTAAAAAGCCTAATGCAGATGTACCGCTGTTTAGAATGGACAGGTTGGTGAAGTTTGCCCAGCAGGTGCTAAACAGGATGGTGGTGTTTCCTTCCAGTCCGCCTACACTGTTCCCACTGGAGTCCTTCAGGTTGGCTGTTACAGTGAGTGATGTCACTCCCACAGAGACACAGTTACCCTGCAGACAACAGCACAGGTCAGCCTTTACAGATAGACAGTGACTTCAACATTAATGTTAAAACATGTGGTGTGTGTCTCCATCACTTTTCCAAAGTTTATTCTGAACCTTTGTACACATTTTATTTCTGGTTTCAGCTCAAACTTGATCCCATTAAAGGGTAACTTAAGCATTTTTCAACCTGGACCCTATTTTTCTATTTTTGTATCTAAATGACAAACAGGGAACAATTGTTTTTGAAATTGGTCCAGTATTAAACAAGAGGTGGCAGCCATGAAACAGGCTGCATTGTAAACACTTGGGGCAATTGTATACTGTCAATGTATGTCCACTAAAAGTGCTTGTTTTTGCCAGTTGACAGGCTCAGGCTATGCTCGGTGTCTGGCAGCATTATGGAAAGGATCCCTACAGAGATAGACCTTTTTGTTAATGAATAAGATCCTCCTTTCCGTTTAACCAGAAACAGCTGTCGCCAAACCCACCAGACTCTCTTTAAATAAACAGTAATTTTAGCCTGTATATAGTCAGGATATTTTCACATTTAACTGGGGGTTTGTTTAAGGCTTTATTTCAACCAAATCACATTTGGTGATTGTTGGAACTATGGAAAGACAAACCAAGATGTTTTTGTCAGTTTTATTTTGTTTCTGTTGACTTTGAATGAAGTGTGTTTTGCGTTGATAAAATTAGTTTGTGTAAATGGAGTCTGGTGGGTTTGATGGAGCGATTTTTTGGGCCGTTTCTGCTTAAAGTCCAGGTAAAGCAAAAATTTGAATGATTAAAAAAAATGCGAAGTATATGGAATCAGGTTTCAAAATTGGGAAAAACTAAGTGATATTCTTGGCTCTGAGATGCTGAGGGGTGTCTGCTGAGGGAGCTGAAATGAAGAACGAGTTGCTGCACTGCGACAGCTTCTTGTTTAGCAGCTACGCTAGCCGACATGTTAGCAGTAACTCCTGGGCTGGGTAGTCAATTTGGTCTAAAATGACTGGATTGAAACTTGAACGTTCCAGTTCACAGTTGGGGATTTAACCCACTGCAGCAGAGTAGTAATCCAATCCTATCACTGTTTGTATCATTGTTCTGATTTAGCAGCAGCTGTGTAGTAAGAGCGATCTGTTTGCAGATGTATCGTTGTCTAACCTGCTCATCCACAGCCATGAGACTGGGCTGCTGGTACAGAGGACCCACAAACTCCCCGGCTATCGGCTCCTCTATCAGCAGCAGGTTGTTCACGCTGGACACATAGCTCACTGTCGGCTCCTCCCTCGTCACTTCTTCGTTTGCCTCCTGATATTTGGAAGCAGAAAAACATCGAACCAGTGAATAGAAATGTAAAACTGATACTAAAATCCCCCTTTTCATGGTAGTTTTTACTAAGCACATGTGTTAATGATTAAGTCTTGACGTTTACCTCCTCCCAGCTGGGGTCAGATGATGGAGGAGGAGGAGGGATGACACCCATCGAGGAGACGTTAAAGCCGATGGACTGACTGAGGTTTCCGGAAACTGCTGCCTGACCCAGATCATCAGCGATGTTCTTCAACAACGTAAAGTCCTCCTCATCTGAGAAGACAAAGACAACAGATGTTACAAAAATCTAAGTTTACAGGCCATTGTTCACATATAAGACAGTAAAACACTCTAAACACAATACAAGTGCAAACATCAGCTCAGAAATGAGACTTCTTCTCCTACTAACTGTTGGTGGTGTTGCTGGTTTGTTGGACTGGAGGCTTCTTGATCTCAACCTCCACCTTCAAGCCAGTGGATCTCTTCCTGCGCCGTGCACCTCCATCTTCCCGGATGATGTTGGTGATTCGGATCATATTTGGGGGAACTTTGAGGAACGTGGCAAGGTTCTGGATCAGACTGTCTCCGAAGAACTCTTCCTCGGTCATGGCGGGCAGCTCAAAGGAGAGGAAGAGAACCGGGGAGGTTCGGATCTCCACTGGCTGGGAGCCCCGCACCAAGACCCTTAGCATTTTGTAGTCCTGGTCAAAGTAGTTTGCGCCCTCAGTGGTGTTCAGTTTGGGGAAGTATTGGCCTGGAGGGATTAAATAAATAGGAATATATGATTGATGAATTAAACTGAAATTTTGCTACTAGCTACTTCTTGCTACTTTGACCCTCCTTTTTTACTGAAGAACTCTGTCATTTTTCATATATTTTTATGAAGTTTAATAAGTATTTATTTTCAAACTTTTCTCACTGACTCCCTAATCACACAAAAATGTTGAGGGGTGTCTTTGACGTACAAACATAGGACAATAAGGTCCAGGCTGAAAAACGTCAAAGTGATTAATCGGAGCAACAATTTTTGAAATTGGTTCAGCATTGAAAGAGAGTGCTGCAGCCAACAGCAACAAAACAGGCTGTAATGTTACCATTTGGAGCATGTTCCCACCTTCAATGTATGCCCACTATAAGTATTTGTTTTTGCTCACATTGTTAATATAAGTGTCTGACAACATTATGGAAAGGATCCCTACAGAGATAGACCTTTTTGTTTAAGAGTAAGATCCTATTAGGTAATCAGAAACAACCCTGAAAATGTATCCCCAAACTCACCAGACTCCATTGGAAGAAACAGTCATTTAAGCATGTATAGGGCCAGTATAATTTTACATCTAACTGGGCATTTTAAGGGTTTATTTCAAGCACACCATAGTCGGTGAATGTTGGAACAGTGGAAAGATGAACCAAGACAGCCTTTGTGGTGTTTATTTTTTATCAGCTTTGAATGAAATATATAATATATTTCTGGGCTGTTTCTGATTAAACAAAAAGGATCTTACTCTTTAACCAAAATTCCTATCTCTGTAGGTATCGTTTTCATTATGTTGTCAGACTCTTACAATAAGTCTGAGCCTGTCAGTGGCAAAACAAAAGAACTGTTTGTGGATGTAAATTGACAAGCAACACATGCCCTGAGCACAGCCTGTTACAGCTGCTGGCTGCCACACTCTCTCTCAATGCTGGACCAACTGCAAAAATTGGTGTCCCCATTAGTCACTCAGACACAAACACACGGGGAAAAAAGGGTCCAGGCTGAAAAATACTAGACTTAACCTTTAACACCAGCAGGCATCCATCCCATACATAAATCCATAAATCAAATGCAAAGACACATGACTGAAATGTGTACATGTTCGGGCCTACTTAACATATGTGATTACACTTACAGCAAAACCACACTTAATATATACAGTACACATAATAAGTTTAGAGTGTTTTAAAGATATTGTAGGCATTATCCTATTCATGAGTACCTGGATAGGTGGGCTCCCTCAGAGTGTAGTCACTGTTGTCAGCGTTCCACTGAGCGTTAGTCGGAGCAACCAGATTGTTGTCAACATACACATCCAACCTCTGCGGCTTGGAGTAGAAGACTGATACCACGACGCTCTGCACACATTAAAAACACAAAAACTGTCTTAATGAAAAGTGAAAAAGTGACAGAGGTGCAACTAAACTGAAGATTTATGTTTGAGCCCAGGAGTCACATTTAAAAAATTTAAACTGAAAAACATTTTTGCACTTAAAGGGAAACTGATTTTCAGCCAGCTTTGTATCAAAACAATGTGGGTAGTAAATTAACTGTGGTAAACTTCCCTTCATCTAACCAGTTCATAGATAGATGCAAAATGCTTCATTAGGCGAAGTTTCACTTTCACATTTTCGTGTACCCGGCACCTATGCCACCACTCTCTCTCTCTCTCTCTCTCTCTCTCACACCACCTCTCTCTCGTTGTCTCTCAAACTTGGACCAATCTCCAATTAAACAGTAAAACTAGGCAGTGCTGATTGAATATAAATCAAAATCATGTTACTGTATTGCCTATTTCTTGCCTAAAATGTCATCAGAAACCCATTTTAGAGCACTTTTCGGCTGTCACAGTTTGTGAAAAGGAAGTGGACACCATACTGTTTCCTGCACAGTGAAAACAGAGTTTAAATGGTAAAACTCACCAGGGCTGATCAGATATAATTCAAGATTGTGTTACTGAGTTGCATATTTCTTGCCTGAAATGTTTTCTTAAACATGTTTTAGCTTACTGTTCAGCTGTAATACAAGATTATTTGTTGCCTGCCATTGTGCCAAGCTGTTACTGCTGCTGACTGTCATATTAAATGTTGTTCTTGTTGTGCACTGACCTCAGATGGATCAGCGTTGAGCATCATGAGGCGAAGTTTCTGAGGGCTGACGCTGCTGAAGTAGACGTCGAAGGAGTGACCGGTGGCCACGATGCTGTGGAAAAGAGACAGTCTCTTTTGGCAGGTGTAGCCCGCACACCAACCATGATCCTGAGGACCTGGACGCAAAGACACACAACTGGATTAAAGACACATTCTCTCTGTTGTTTAAACTAATCTAAGGGACATCATTAATTTTTTTTCTGGGTTTTACTCATATCAGAACTACAAGACTGGTCTCACCATTGAGCAGATCCACAAAGCCTTCTCCTAGCACAGCAACCGGGGACAGACGCCTGGTCTCTGTGTCGGAGTCGAGACTCTCGATCACCAGCATCCTGTAGTTCAGCCCGAAACACTTGTAGCTCTGCCAGGAACTCATGTATGTGCAGTTCTCCCTGATCACACCTGAGGACAAAAGAAGCAGCACAGCATTTTGGATAATTAGTTTATTTCTAATGTAACTTCTGATATAAATGCAGAGGTTTAATATTTCTCCTTCTACTTCTCTGATATTTTAGAAGAAAACTTTTGACTCTGCAAGGACTTCAAACACAGAACATGAAATCAATTAAATTTCTTTTTTTTGTCCTGCAGTTTTATCAGCTACTGTCTAGTAAGAGACTTCAGAATCTTTTTTCCTTTAGTTACCTTTGTGTGGTGCAATCTGGTTCACGGGGATACGGCTGCCATTGAGGTAAGTGAGCATGACTGGTGGGATGCGGTAGTCGCCCAGCCCCCTCCTGGGATCACCACCCCACTCATACTCAGACTGGGGCACCACAGTTCCCACTGTACCCAGAAACGAACCATCCAAATCCTTCAACATGGTCTTCTTTTTCCCATCGCAGTCCATGTCCACACAGTCAGAGGGGTTAACTTTACTTAAGTATAAAAAAAAATGAAGGTATGAATTTTATTTTATCATATGCATTAAAGCAGAGATATTTAATCCCAACTGTTTCAAGTTAATAAATGTTTTATGTAAAATACATTCCTTTTTGTCAGATTAAATCCTAAATATAAGCTTCTTTTTAACTGTGTACCACAGCCATCCCTTAAATCGTCATTCTCAGCTGCTGCGTTCAGGGCAAAGGTACAGAGCAGAGGTTACACTCTTTTTGGCCATTATTATTCCAGAATTCCAGCCATATACATACAAAAATAGCGCCATCTGGTGGCCGGAAAGCATGTCTTGTTCTACTTGCTAAATATTGTTGTAATTCTAAAGTTGAAATTAATGTTCTGTGTTGGAAAAAAAGAAAGTGAAAAATACAAAAAAACATATTATTTTCTGTGTTGGTACAAAATAAAAACGAAATAAATACACCACAGTGTCTCCATGGTGAAGACATATATAACCTAATAATGATAGTGATGCAAATAACCTAATTGTGATGCAGGCTGCAAAATCTGATGCAGAGGGGGAGTGAATATCACCTACTTGGCAGAGAGTCTGCACTCTCTGAGTGCTTTTCTAGTATAAAAATGTAGACACTTTGTCATTCTTTTCTCACTGTCTGACGTACATAGAGAAAATATCACAGATTTTGCGAGCCTGTTATCGGTTACAATAATTTACCTGATATCAGGCCTGTGGATGTAGACTTTGGCCTCCTCTGTGCTGTCACTCATTGTTATGCCTGAAACCTGCACAGGGTGCTGCAGGTCATCGTTCTCCGGGTTGGTCATGAACATTACATCTACTTCATCAGAGCAGACACTCCGGAAACCAGCGAAGGTTGTGTCTGGATATGAAGCAAGGGAAATGAGGAATAAGGAATATCATAGTGAGGACTGTTTTCAATGGCAAACGTCACAACATTAGTACTACTCCCAAAGCTCAGAGCCTGAACTCACCCACGACTTTCATCAGTCCTTTAATGGCGTTGTAGCTACTGATTCCATGATGGGGCATAGTTGGAGCTCTGTTGTGGCCAGATGCAAAGGTCGGCCAACAGATTCCAGATCTGCCACCTGTAGAGAGTAAAAACACAAAGAGTCATTAGGTCAGAAATCCTTTAAGTTTAGCAAACCCTGCATTTATATGCAAAAAGGATCAAATTTCAGCACTTTTAAATTACATTCAAGTTCTGGACTGGCTAAATTAAATTGTCAAAATGACACAATTAGAACATCTTTTCTTTGTTCTAGGACTTTTTTTCAGTCCAGATGTCCAGGTTTAAATGTTCTGATCTTAAAACTGTTTCAATGTCAAAACAAATCTTTATCTCAGAGTTACAAGCAGGATGTGAACTGAGACAATTAATACCTATCATACACTAGAGGACTTTAAAGAGAGTTTTAAAAGACTTAAGTCTGACACCCACTTACAACTAAAGACAATGTAAGTTTCTAGTAACACACCATGCGATTTTGTAAAGACTGTGGCTCTTGCAGGGCAATTTTTGCAAGACTATTATTTTCCATCCTGCTCCCGGTGGAAAATATTGAGCCAAAATCCCTTTAAGAAATATGACATATTAACAATTCCCTAGAGTTGTACAAAAACACATAACTCTAGAACCACAAGATAAAAGGCGTCATATGTCGACAGTATTCTTGTCAATTTGGCATCAGTATATTTCATACAGATAAACCGTATTTGTGTCACACTTTACATTTTGGATTTTGTCGCCTCAACTCGCCGTCAGCTTCCATTGGTTAGCTGCGCTACTTTAGTGGGAGGAGAATGCTAGCATAAGAGATGGACTGTTTCAAAAATTAAGAACTCTCACTAAAGTAAGTGCTGTTCGGTGGATCAAATATACATTGAAATAAACACTGAATCTTGTTCACTCCTCATCTCCACCAGTTTCTTCTCCTTTTCCACAGAACAAGAGAACTGAGACTTGTTCACATTCTTGTTCCTCCAAGTTTACTGTTTCCTTGGTTTCCTGCTTCCTGTTTGGTGCTGTAGAGCACGCAGCTATTGGTTGTTCACAATGTTCACGTCACTGAACTTCAGTATTTGCATGAGACAAGACTGAAAAGTTACAATGCCATTAAACATATTTGATTTTATCCAAATATCAAGATGAGAAAAACACTGACTTCAGACAGCTCGCACTGAATTTTATAACCACCTTACACCAAATAATCGAGATCACAGGAGCACGACATAACTCTAACAAAACTCTTATAATTTTATTCCAACATTGGAAATTTGTCTGCAATAATGAAATAGTGCGAAGTCGTTTGGTGTAATGCTGGCTTAACTTGTGTGATTTAAAACAAAGCCTCATCCTATCAAGACAATTCCAAAAACATTTAAGACCTTTTAAAACCTGTTGCAACCTTGTATGAAGGTTTTTCTAACCTACGAATGTCATGGTATCCTGAAATCAAAGCATGAAAATCAGTCTACTTTGTAGCAGTGATGGTACAGTGTGTTGGCAGCATCAGTTTGTACTGCACCTGTGAGAGGTCTTGGGGCTCGTTCGCTCTTGGTGATAAACACATTAAAGTCACCGCTGGGCAAAGCATCTGAACAGTTGAAGTGCGGGCTGCTGCCAACAATGAAGGCATTCTGGGGAAAAATAAGCGTGAGGAATTTGAATTCTGTCAATAAAAACAATCACTGATGTGTAAATAAATGATATCAGAACGAGTGAATCAAAGTAAATTCTCTCACCTGAACATGTACAGTTTTATCAGCGTATGCATGGGAGAGAGAAGGAGGAGTGTAGATTATTGGCATGATGCCCATCCCGTTGTCCACCAGGGTCACATTGGCAACAATAACGTTCATGGAGGTCTGAGAGGGCAAGAGGAAGAGGAAGATGAGGTTTTTTAAATTTTTTTATGAATAATCTAGACTGAGCTTTTAATTGTGCGTCTCCTCATCTTTATTTTCTCAGGAATCCTAAACTCAGCTCTTATAAATCTTTGCCTGTGAAATGAACAAAATATAATATATTTTTTTTTACATGTACACACATATATATCATATATACATTTATCTTAACAAGAGTCATGTTTCACAAATAGTAGTTCCCTCCCCTACAAGGCTTTTGCATGCTCATGTATGGGTTGCCAATATGCTGTTTGTTTTGGTAAGTAAAAAATCAGAACAAGTAAATTTGGTGAAAAGATTTATTTCTGTAAATGTTCAATTTTGTTATAAAATTGGCAAATTAAACATCTAGTGTGCAGGATTTAGGGGGATACATTGGCAGAAATACAATATTATATGATGAGTATCTTTTATTCACCTGAAAACAAGAATGTGTTTTTGTTACCTTAGAATGAGCCAATTATATCTACATAAGGAGCGGGTCCTCGACCATGGAGATGGCCATGTTGCCCTGCCATGTTTCTACAGTAGCTCAGAATGGACAAACCAAACACTGGCTCTAGATAGGGCCATTTGTGTTTTCACATGGCCACCGTAGTTAGCAGCCCCTCTGTGAGGAGAGTGTCAGAAAAAACAATGATTTTTTTAATGTGAACTGCTTCATGAAGTGTTTTTATCGGCCACTGGGTCCATTTGTTTTGGAGAGGAAGAGACCTCCGTGGATAATTCAGCTCCCAGTATAAACCTCCTGAACGTGTGGATCTTAACTTATCAGAGAAATAAGGTGAGCACTAGGCTTAGGTGGTATCGCAGCATTAAGGTATACCTGGATTTTGGAAATCCCGACAGTATGCTTTTCAATATCGTCAAAAATAAAGGAGCTCCTAACTCATTGTATGTAGTGCACAGCACACGCCACTGCGGTCTCAACTGAGGGAACAGGCAGCTGAGCTAAAAGACATCGCGACACTGATTGGTAGAAGGATGAATTACAGGACTATAAACAGCTGGCCAGCAATGGCAGAGAGAGAGACCATGTAGGAAAATAACATGTTAGCAGGATAGCACTAAATCTTACACACTCTTCCTTTAAAGGCTAAAAAATTCTTCTACAGTTATCTTTATCACGACAGGCTGCTCACTTTGTTCTGTATATCTGGTCCTTGTTAATTTATAGGAGTAAATGTCACGTTGTTTCTTTTCCTAAACCTTAACATCACTTGCCTTAGGGGGAAAAGGCCCAACTTTACACTGTTACCCTATGATGCCAGTCACATTAAGTCAGAACATTCTTTTGTGGGTGATGAAATAATAGAAGTGTTAAAAACAGAAGAAGTTCAGTATTAAAACCTGGAAGTAGATGCCGTAGTCAAAGCTCCTCCAGACGAAGAAGCCCCGGATGAGGCTGCAGCCAGGCAAACCATCTTGGTTCAGATAGACTCCGTACAGACCACCGTGAGCCTCGTTGCCGATCCAGTTCTCATTCTCATTCAAAAAACCTGCAGAAGTCATGCAGGGAAAAAAAAATCCTTGAGGACTTCTGTTCAGTAATCTCTGTCCTCAGTCTGAGCATTTAAGATTTTATGAACAAACCGATAAAACATTTGCTGACATGATTGGAAACACAGAAAACGTCCACTATCACTTTGGTTAAATCATTTCTGTTACCTGGACATGGTTCACCATTGATGCGATAAGCGACTCTCTCGTAACCTGCCACAATGTTATTCTGCAGCACAACATTTGTCCCCTCAATGACCTAAAACAAAAATAAGCAAAGATCATAAATGCAGCCACTGATTTTTATAAGTGGTTTATCTGGTATTTTGAGAGGACAGACCTCGACAGCAGCGTTCCAGTTAAAGTTGAAGGGCTCCTCTCTGTCCTGATATGATCCAGGCCAAAGTGAGAACATCACGAGGTTAAACCGCAGTGTTATCCTGTTGCCCCAAATTCTTATAGCTGCAAACAGGGATACATTTTAATACTTTAAATGCTCCTCATTCAGTGCTGAGGACAATCACTTCACTTACATTCAATTTGGATAATCTGGCACAATGTGTAAACTGTACAGCATTTGTAACTCATTTTGACAGTGCAGTGTTTACCTTCTCCGACAGTGCGGTGGATGACGTTATTGTCAATGTTCAGTCCCTCCGTCCCAAAGACACCGATGGCTGGAGCGAAGCCGTCATGGAAAGCGCAGCCCTTAATGTATGTCTCATCTTCTGAAACCTGAAAACACACACACAAAATTTTGCATTTTCTTAATTCAACAGATATTTCCTTCTTAGTAGTGACTGCAACACGTCTAAACAACACCTAGTGGTCATGTGAACTCCTGCTGAATGTTACAGGAGATAAAATATTATAATTCCAGCTCTGTGATCCAGTTAGATGATGTAGAAGAAAGATTTTGAGCCCAGCGTTTCAAACACCTTTTTTTGGTTGCTGTTTTTAATTGCATTAAAGTTAAAAAAAAATCGTAAACTTTTGAGAGCTATAATTCTACATCTTAGATGATATGCTGGATACTACTCCTGTCAAAAAACAAAAATCAATCTGTGACCAAATCTAAAAGAGTATTAATGCAAATGTGTGGTGGACATGTCTAACATACACACCATACACACAATTTAGAGGACTCTTTAATCCAAAGCATTTTAGGTGAACACGTTTTTAAGTGTATGTAGCCTCCACATTTGTTGTCCTGTAGTTCTTATATTTTAATGTAAGTGTGTGTGCGTGCATGTGTGTGTGTGTGTGTGTGTGTGTGTGTGTGTGTGTGTGTGTTGCTGTACCTCTCCCAGGTTGAGGAAGGCCACAGAGTAACGAGGGTCGGTGTCGTCGGTCCAGCCTTCCTGACCAGACTGGAAGAACTCCACGTTGCTGATCTGAGCTTTGCCTTTACAAATAAAACACCAAACAATGATGTGGTCATTGTGTTTGAATATAAATGAAGGCAAAGCCATACCAAGGCTGAATATACAGTATATACATCTATGCACTTCATATTGTTCATATGAAATAATAATCATTTATTAACCCTCTATTATCTGTAACCGCTTATTGTATTCAGGGGCAAGAGATGGGGTACACCCTGGAAAGGGCTATCACAGGACTGACATATAGAGAAAACCATTCACACTCACATTCATACCTACAAGCAATTTAGAGTCACCAATTAACCCAGTGGTTCTCAAGCTGTGGTGTGGGCCCACTAAGTGGGGCATAAAGTCAGCAGGTGGGGTGTGTATGACCAGTGGAGACACAAAGTTGAATGATTTATATAGCAAAAATAAACGAACAAGAGATTGCTGACGCTATCGTGCTGAATTTCATTCACTTAAATTCAACATGGATCCTATTTTATTAGTTGCTTCATCCAATTATTGTTAATGATTGATAAAAAAGTGGGGTAGGGGTGTGTGAACTTTTTTCAGCTTCTGAAGGGGGCATGACAGAAAAAGTCTGAATACTGCTGAGACCTAAACGCAGACACAGGAGAACATGTAAACACCACACATATGGGCCCGAGCCAGCCAGCGGGTTTGAACCCTGTCGCTGTAAGGCTGATTTTATGGCTACTACATACATCTTACATAAAACAGTAAATTAATGATCAAAAATGAGTATTAGCAGATAAAACCAGTTGGTTTTACGAATTTGGTTTGGTTATAGTATAATTAATGATATGATCCTCAGTTTGTGCTGAGTTTCAGATACAAAGATGTTTAAGGTTTTTAAAAGGAAAATGGCAAAAGACACAATGCACCATGAGTGACAATAACGCTGCAACAACATTTCACTCTCACTGCGTGCAGCTCAAAAACCAACTGCAGATGCTCCTGGTTCTAATCTACATGGAAATAATTAGCTTTAAACTGTCCTGAGTGGTCTTAAACTCTAATATAGTTGTTATGTTACAGCTAATTCAACTAACCAATACAGTCAACACCGTTTTCTGTGAGAAAAGAAATCCAATTTTACACACTTAATAAAAAAACATACCTTTATAGTCGATGCCATCCCAGGAGTAGGTGCCTACCAGAACTCTGGCTCCAAACGACTCCTGCATCATTTCTGGATAGTCTTCACCAATGATCTTAATATTTCTGGTCACAAGAGCGACATCAGCTGCCAGAGTGTAGGAGAGCGATGTACCTGAGACAGAGTAAGTCTCACCTGAAGAAAGTGAGGGAAAAAAGTTCTGTTAGTGCTTTACAGTATAATATGATAAAAATGCACACCACACATTTGAAAGCAGTTTGATTTTCTGAACATTGTCTGGACACAGTGGTTCAAATTGGATCTATCACATAAACAAGTCATTTTAATGTAATCTAACAACAGATGTAAAAAGTTTAAAATGTGCCAACAAGCTGAATATCTTGTTGGCAAATTGTAACATGGATATTAAATAATACACAAATGTCACAAATCATTGCAGTGCGTTTAACATCCTTTTGCAGCTCTGGAGACATAAGCTGTCTGTACAGACAGTGGTGTTGAACTGACCGATGTGAGCGTGGGCCAAAGGCTGGTTCAAGGTCAGGACGAGGCCGTCTGCTGACACGGCGGAGATCTCACGTTTTTCTGTCTCCCACGGGTTGTAGCTGGAGGTGGAGATGACGACCTCGTCTCCAACCTGCACACACAACAAACACACAAGCAAACACATAATCACATGGATGAATACAAGCGTTTGCAGTAGTCGTATGAGATTTTAATCTAAATGTGGTACAGAGTTAACCACATAAACAATTCTTATTTGATTACTTTTGCTTTAAAAACCTTTACATGTCAATACACAAACACAAAATTAAAAGTAAAAGGAAAGCAAGCCGACCTGCCAATCGACAGACTTCAACAGGGTCAGAGTGTTGGATCCAGCGTCAGCAGTGGCAGCCAGTTTGGTATGGTAAACGTTGTGGGGTAGTCCATAGAGCTCCAGTGTTCCAAACACACCTGTGAAACACACACAGAGTAAGATCTGAAACATGTGACACCTTACACAGCATCCCTCTAATCTGGGAAAATTTATATTATGGTATCATTTATTGGGTGTGATAAATTCTACATTCACAGCTGATAATCAACATAGCATTTTATTAAACTATCATACAATCTGAAAAGGTTATGACTAAAATCTAGCTTCATTTGGTTATTATCAATTATTAATTATAAAACATAAACATGCTGATTTATCATAAATAATATAATAAAGTATATTTTCATGACATATTTAAAATATTTGGAAGAATCTGGTTGAGGATTTATTTGATGTAATAAATGAAACTTTTGTACAATAATGGAGAAATGATAATTTGCTTTAGTGAGACTAGTTTGAAAGCTGCTGGGAATCCTGGATTGAGGATGTGTATGTCTGTTCACATTTCTAGTTATTCAATAGTGCAGTAACTACTCCTGGTTCCTCAGTATGATCATTAGTGTTATTTGGTGTGTCTTTTTCTTCTTCCTCTTGCCCCTCTACCTTTTATGTTTGCCTAAATTGTATTATTTTATTTTATTTTACTTAACAAACGTGCACATATGTACATTTGTAGAAGTAAGTATAAATGTAGTATATGTTTATGTGTTGTCTGCATGTGAGAGTAGAAGCATATGTATGTATGGGTATGTGTATGCATGTGGGTATGGGTATGGGTATGGGTATGCATGTGTTCTTTTTTTCTTAAAATATGATGAGAAAAAAAGTATTGCTTCTATATTTCATGTAAGATACAGCAGAATAATCTACAACATTTTGTAAATATATTACTACATGTATTGCATAAAACAATACTTTTATAAATGTGTGACAATACTGTTGATCTCTGTAGGCAGAAAATATTAAAATGTAAACACTACAATGTTGCATGAAATTCTCTTGCAATACAAAATAAATTGTATATTAGTTCATTCTGATGCTGTTTTCTCACCCAGGACTTTGGATCCCTGGTTTGGTCCATTGGGCAGAGGCCAGTCAGGTGTGCGGTGGTCTCCTCTCAGTCTGATGTACAGTTGACCTCTGAATGGCTCGTCTTCCCATCCTGCAATCAGCCTGCCACCCTAAAACAGCCGCATACATCACCTCATTAAACAAGCTGTCCTGGGCATCAGCTTTCTCCTTTTATACAGATCATCTGTTGATTTCAGTGTTGGTATGTAACCAAAGTACTCAAGTACAATTTTGAGACGCTTAAAGGCTACTTTACCTAAGTATTTTCATTTTATGCTACTTCATACTGCTACTCCACCACATTTTGGAGGCAAATATTGTACTTTTTATTCCTCTACATTTCTTTGCCAGCTTTAGTCACTTTTACATTAACGCAGAATTTAAATCAATATGCTGTCATGGTTCAAGGGTTTATTTGTAGTGTTTCCTGTTTTATTTTGATGTACTCACCTCTCCTTTCATTGTCAACTTCACTTCCTGCCTTTTTGAGTGTCTGCTGTGCCCTGATTTGTTTCACCTGTCCCTCATCATCCTTGCTGTCACCTGTTGCTTGTTAACACCCTTTGTTTCCCTTGTGTATTTAGTCTGTTGGTGTTTCTCAAAATCAAGGATCCTTCCTTGGTAGGATGAGTCCTTCCAAGGAAGGATCCTCCAGAGGCAAGGCATTGAGTCCTTCCTAGCATTCAGTGAACACACATTGGAACAGGCTAACAAGTGTCCCCAGGTGTACGTCATTAACCCTCGGCAGACTGAGGGGGTTTCAGGTTACTGTAATAATTTTGGCACTCTCTGATGTTGTACAATTTTAAACAAATGTAACCAGCATTTTCAGAGTCACGTGACTTTTAGGGAGAATATATTTCTGGATCATACTTAAGAGTAAGTGGAGTAATGAAGCAAAGGCAACACCTGAAAAAGTTCTAAATTATCATTTACAGTATGAACACAGACTCACACACAGTTTCGCACTATGATTCCAGTGTTCCATATTTTATGTGTGTATCACCACACACCACTACAATAACGTGAATAGCGGAACTGATCTGATGAGTCGCGCTGCTCTCAAACAGCTGACCCGCTGCCTGTACATGATAGTGCCGTGTAATCTTCTTAAATAGGTTCACCTCAGAACAAATGAGGAATGCTTTGACCTGCAGGATATTCCAATGTCTTTACAGTGACTGTTCTCATCGCAATTCCCCCGAAAAATACACCAATTGGAGCTAACAGAATTTAAGCAATGGTCATGTTGTTATCATGTGAACAGTGGGGGGAGGAGGACTTGTATGCAGCAATGTTGAAAAAAATATTTGTTGATTTGTATCAACTCTGAATATTTCAAACAATATACTATTGCCTGGTGTGCTTTCTCGCTCTCTTATTGTTATGTTTACTTCATATATTCTTCTGTTTTCTGCTACTAAGCAAGAAAAGAAAAGCCATCACTGTCATGTTAGATCCTTGTTATATTTATCTTTTAATAAAAAAATTTAACTTGTATGCCCTCAATGTCAACTTTTCCTCACGGTCAAAAGAATCAATATTCTTTAAGGTTTTGTCTCAAAATTAGAAATGGCAGTGTTTTGACAACACTAGGTTACAGCATTAAAAGTGAAAGCTAAACTCTCAAAAGAAATAACATTTTAAAGTGATAATCTGGGTCAGGGATTGGCAACCTTGGGCCTGTGTGCCACCACTTGCACGCTGTAAGGCTCACTAGCAGTGAGCATGCAAGAGAGTTTTTTGATATTGGTTGCCCTGTTTTAATTTCTGTTTTTGGTGATGGAGCATTCATGAGGAGCACTGTTGAAATACATAAAGCCTACCATTCATTGTGTGTGAACTCTGTGCACGAAGGAGCAGCAGAATGCCAGGCGCAGTGTAGTATCTGAAATTCTACTGTGACGCCCTGGGTCAGATGACCAGTTAGGGGCCCAGGGTCAAGAAGGTATTTATGGCCCAGGTCAAGGATTGGTGAAGTCCAACTAGGGTGTCTCTCTGTCATCTGTTTCATTTTGTCTCACATTTCACAAAAACAACCAACCTATATAAGCAGGGTAGTTGGGGCTGTTATTCAGAGCAGTTCATATTGGCTTCGAACCCTCTCTCAGGCAATCCTAGGTGCTTGATTTGATGCTGTACTTCTTGTAATAAACCTTTTCTGTATACAAGCAAGACGGTGTCAGCGGAGTTTCCGTCATCACCTTCACATCATCGCTATTTCATAAACAACAGCAGTGAAGGTGAAAGTTGTCTCGGGTCTAAAAGTTTGCTTTCACACACAAAAAGCTGCTCCTCCTATCCATCGATCTGATCAGCTCTAATTGGATCGACTTATCAATTATCCATCCTGCAATTCAAAACCTTACAAACTGCAGGCAAGGGAAAAAGGAACTAATGAAGAGTTTTGTGCTGCGTTCAGTGACTTGCAAAACCTCAGAATTTAGAGAGGAGAGACAGAATGATTCAAAGGGCCAGAAATACATGGAGGGTTTGCAACTTAAGAATTGCCCTTGATGAGAGCGTGGATGTGAATGACATACCACGTTTGGCGGTCATAGTGGGATACTGTGATTTGACTGTGAGGGAAGAGCTCTGCTGCTTATTGAAACCAATGACTCAAACAATAAAAGGTGAGGATATAGCCAGAGTTTTTATGGGGCATTTTGAGGACAGAGGGATTGACATTATATTGATATGACACACTGATTAACAAGAAGATTAAATGGCAAATCATATCAAAAAGTCTGCTGACCCCTAATCTAGATAACTGTGGTATTGAGACAGATTACTGATGACACATACCTGGATGGAGATGTAGACAGCATCTATCACCACAGTGCTGTATTCAGGTGCAGAACGAGCAGGTCTGGAGGACGAGTTTCCCATGTTGTCGGGGATCTCCAAAACTCCAATGACCGTCAGCTTGTTGAGGGGAGGAGTGTCACTGTCCAAAACCACCCACTCCCCTGCGGTGTGATTGGTATACAAAGGTATTATCATTACAGTTTTCTACTAAGTGATGGTTCATACAAAATTTTTGTTTGTATTATGAATTAAAAAGCAACACTGTCACCACGATGAACCATTCAACAATATGAAATTCTGTTGTTCAAAATTACCTGACGGGATGACCACATCAGCGCCCTCTTCTGGTACAGTGAAGTTATTCTCAGCTGAATTTTCCCAGAATGAGGCATCAGACCACAGACTAGAGAGAAACACGTGAACAAAGCACATTTAAGTTTGCAAAAACAAACAAACAAACATAAAAATAAACAAGTGCTGCTCACATTAATGCATCAGTGATAATATATAACACTATGCATCAGGCTGTTCATCGTCATAAGTACTTTTACTTGGCTATTAATACTTACATAATTTTACTTAAGTAAGATTTTGAATGTAGTACTCTTACTTGTAACAAAGTATTTTTCAAATTATTGTATTATGTAAGTAACAGAATAAGTGGAGGAAGGAAATGAGCTGTGTTTGAATTCTTCCTGGTCATGATTAACATGTTGAAGAGGAGGTTAAACGTACATGAAGTTTTCCGGCCGGTGGCTGGGTAAAGGGGGAAGCGTGGCTGGAGGTGGTGGTGTTGGTGCGATGCAGTTAGGGTAGAAGCAGCGGTAGACCCCTAAGTTCACCTTGGTGTCCCTCAAAGAGCGGTCAACGCTGTTACGACGCCTGCGCTCACTTCTCTTCCCAGATACTGCAGACACAACAAATTACAGCTTGTGGTCATCATAAAATCCAATGGCGTTCTGATGTGGATTTAAACCGACAGCAATAACACTGCTAATGAAAATAATGGACATAATTAGACAGGTCTGACAAGTGTTTATGATCGTTTTTAAAGGTACCATATAAAGAACTATACTGCATATACTTACTTGCTATTTTTAACAGTTTAAATAGTTCCTGTTTCAAATAACCTTTGTGTATGTTTTAGCAGCCAACAGTCCTGCTGCCCAATCTATGAGCTATAATAAAAAAAAGCTATTATTCTTTTTTAATCTATTGATTTTTTTATTTTGTAAAATGTCAAAAAATAGTGAAAATACCCATCACAAGTTTGTTTTGTCTGACCAACAGTTCCAAACCCCACGAGAAAAGCATCAAATTCTCACATCTGAGATCAGTCCATGTTTGGCATTTTTGCTTAAAAAACTTGATGATCAATCAGTCATTAAAATAAGCATAAAATCAACAGATTTACATTAAAGAGTGTCTAACCGATATAATAGAGGTTGTTGGAGCTGTCGTCGAAGTACCAGTCTCCATTCTCATTGTCGCTGAAGCTCAGCGGTGTGGACGAGCCGTTTCTATCGTCAATGATATGGAATCTGTCAGGACTCTGTGTGAAGTTGTGGTTGATGATCACATACTGATCTGACTGTTTGATAAAGAAAAGTACAAGCAAAAAGCGTCAGTAAATAAGCAGAGAATTTGGTTAATATTTGATGTACACTTATATAGTGTCATCCTGTTATTTGCTTCTATCTATAAGAATCAGAACATTTTATTTAGACATGTTATAGTTGGTCTTATACTGTATGTAGGCACAGAGAACTTAGAAATATAATAAAAAATATAGAAATATAAAATAAAAAAAATGAAATAAATGTGAATTATGCTACAATATATAACACAACTTATAAAAACAACAATTAGAAATATGTACAAATATGTTCAATACTTCAAAAAATGTTAATTATATATGCAAAAATAGAATAAGTGAATATAAAATAAAAAAAGCAGATTATTGCACAGTATTATACATTACTATCAAGTGAAGGATCTTTCACTCACCTTGAAGCCATAGAATTTTGCATTGTAAGTGATGTTGGTGATATGATCCATGTCGTCAAAGAACCACCTGTACGTTTGTCCAGAGGGCAGCATGGCCATCCAGCCAAACTTATGAGTAATTCGTTTCTTTAAATAGGGAACCGCACTGGTGCCTGTAATAGAGAGTTTAAAAACAGCACATTTAAAAATACAAATAACAGACAAGACAGATTTATATTACAAATACATCTATATATAGGGTTACACCTCACTTAATTTTATTGTATTTCAAGTTTTTTTCCTGCAGAGTTCATGACAGAGATCTTGTGCAATTCCTACAAATCACCAGTAGAGGTCAATAAAGATTAAAATACAGGCTGCTGCTTCTGCAACTACGACATGACATGTAGAAAGTCTGACTGTGTAATACCATGTGAGTTGGTTAAGATGACATCTTTGGCCCTCAGAGAGTCAGGTGTTGGGTTGTTTAACGCCAAACGATGGAAGTTGACTGTCTCATCGCACACAGCGCCGGGGAAAGCCACACTCCACTCGGAACTCTGGGAACAGTGAGCAGGATCCAGCAAGCCGCTCATAGGCACAACTTTGTGGTCAATGTTTCCTGAAAACAAGGAAACATGGGTGACAAAGAGATTAGGATGATGCAGGGATGAAGGATAAGCCCACTTCAGCTGCAACAACCTGACTTTTTAATCAGACATATGCTGTTTTATGGTGATAAAAATATAATCATATTGATAATATGTCTGTGTTTCTGATTCATTTCATTTTCCATCTTTATAAAGGACACATTATTCTGATACTAAGATGCACTTATATGGGCGGGTTCAATGCAAAATGCTCACTTCTCTAATTTGCTAAATCCTCCATGTAAATAACAACGTGATAGGTGTAGGCGTCTGGTATTGACGCTGTATTTGGTTGAATTCATGTTATGCTCAAAACAAACCTGTGATTAATCAATGGCCTAAATACACCCCCTTTACCCCAAGCGCCTAAATGCACTTGCACTATGCACTTCAGACCAGACATCATTTAAAAAGGTCTCTAAATGTGTATTAATCCACCACAGAAAATAGTCCCAATCAAATGCACTATTCAAAGCTGTGAGAAACATTTAGTTTAAAAAAAAAAGGTCAAAAATAAAACTGTATATTTTACACCTGTTTTCTTCAGTAGGAACCAATAAGCTGAGTGTTACAGACAAGGTAGGGACGTATTGTAGGCTTTGGTGTTTTCAAGGGATTTGTTGACAATAACAAACATGCAGACTAACACCAGACTTATCCTTTAATAACACTGATTATCTGATGCATTCTAAAAATGAACAGCAAAAGACTTAAAACTGAGTACCTGTGAGGGAGCCGTCAGTGTCCACCAGCTGCACCTCATGCTCCCACCTGAAGCCGGCCTTGTTGGGTGAGTTGAAGTACTCGATGCCACTAAACCTGACAGCCCAGCCACCACAACGATCAATACATGTCCCATCGATTCTGGCCACCCCAATGGCTGCGCAAGAGCTGCGGTCGAAGTTGATGAATTTGGTGTTATGGACGCTGAGGCCATCATCCAATGGTGCGATGATACCTCTGTGTGTGCAGAAGTCATCTCCCAGTTCAAGCTCGTCCACATGGCCCACAATGGTGCTGTTTGACATCATCGCCCCTCCTTCCTCTCCAAAGCCACTTACCGCCCACTGCAAGATGCGCTTGGCTTCAATACCGGCTTTCTCATTGTTGACCATGACAAAGTTGTTGAACTGCACAGCGCCCACATTGACCCACTCTGCACCTTTCTCACAGTTCCAGGTGGTGAGGGAGTTGAAGACAGCGGGCTCAGGGGTATTGGACCAGCAGTGTCCTCCCTTCATGGGGTTGAAGTCTACAAAGATCCAAAGGCCAAACCAGCCCTGAGAGTGCACGGTGTTGTTGTAAAACTCACCGAGAGGGACCTTCTTCTGGCAGATGTTTCTGTCATAGGACGGGCCATCGGGGTGCCTGTGCATGCGGTACCAGAAGCCAAAATGGGTTCCTCCAGCAGCAGCGTTGTGGCGGATGATATTGTCAGGGTTGGTGACCCAGTAGGCGGCTGGAGTGACATCATCATTTAGCAGGCTGGTGCTTTGTTTGACAAACACAGCCAGGTTGTACTGCAGGATGTTCTTTGTCTCGATGCCATCCTCGATGAAGAAGGCCCCACCCTTGATGTTGTAAATGACGTTGTGCTCCACCAGTAGCCGGTGGGTGTTGTGGATGGTTACGGCCCTGTTGAAGGTCTGATGGATGGCACAACCCCGAACATATGACTTGTAGTCGATGTCTCCCATCAGATGCCAGTGAATGGGGTAACGTCCCAGCCTGAAGGCCTGTCCTGCATGGAAGACCTGTTGCATAAAAGCATAAAGTTTATAATTTCAATTTTTGGTACATACTAAGTGCATACAAAAGGAACAAAAATGATCACAAGACTGAGGAGATTTAAAAAAAAAACAAGACTAACCCTTTCACTAAAAGTCAGCTGTAAAAAAAGAGTTCCAGCAGTTAAACAGTTTGAAGCATTTCACCTCAACATATTCCAGTCTGCCGATTGCAAGATTCTCATTTGGTCTGGGTGCGTGGAACATGATGCAGCCTCCATACTCATCACTGCCGATTTCTTCTCCAAATCGCCCTTGGAAACAGGTTTGAGTTGCGAATTCACCTGCAGCACAGAGACAGAAAGATGTTATTGTTAACCCCTGTGATAATATACTACACCGTGCTTTTAGTATGTCAGTATAATTAAACAAAATGATGCCCAAAGTGTAGGAGTCAAGTATACAATGCACGTCATATCTTTTAATTTTGTGTCTTTGTTGAATTGCTCTAAAAACTATTATATTTCTACAGTTTCAAAAGTTCACAGTATCTTACTTTTTAAATTACCACGCGTTAACCAAAAGTAAAGAAACAATTAGTGGATGAATCAGTTTATTAATAATCACATTTTATTTTATTTTTTTCAAGCAAAAATTTCACCACCCTCTGATATTTTCTTGGTTTTAGTCACTTCAGGCTCTGGGATATTAGCAGGTTAGCTGATAATGAGAATAATGTTTAGTTGCAGCCTTAACATAGAGCAAGGCCATAGCCATGGAGTCAGCACCGGGGGAGACCAGATCTGACAACCTAATTTCCTATAATATAATATAATATAATATAATATAATATAATATAATATAATATGTCATAAGCAGGTATACATCTATACAACATACTATATGAATATGTAATAAATGAAAGCCACTACTGTCTGCTGGGCAACATAAAAGACTGGCACTTTACACAGACCTCATGTAGGGTATATGACAAATATAACACAATAAAGACATTAAAGTTAGTTGAATAATGCTTGTGAGCACCATTTTTCAAGATTCAAGTTACAAGGTCAAGGTAAACAAGGTCACTGGAAGAATTCTTCTTCATTACTTTCAAATGTTTGTTTCAAATATTTCATTACTTTCATATCAATGTATGTCGAAAATTAAAATATAATATGAGTGTTAAAGTGTCATTTATGTTGCGCTGCCTGTGTAATTTATGTAGACAATAGTCGTGTTTATTTATTGCGTATTTACATAATATATTGTGTATCTTTACTTGCTTATGATGAACAATATAGGAGAATTAGGAAATGAGTATATGAGTATAAAATAATAAGAAATGATTTTTCAAATGTTTAATGTTTGTTTTATTTTTTTCTGAGAAGGGGTGGACCTCCCAACATACTTTATCCCCCTCAATACTGGCTATGGCCTGGGAACCAAAGCCTTGACATAAAGACACAGCAGTGACACCACTCCAGGTTTTGTGAGAAAAGGATGGCAAGTTTCCATGTTTTAACTTCACCTGACAAAACAGTCTATAAAAAACAGAAAATGGATATAGTAAACTCTTCTCTCTATCTGACAGTGGCTTTATGCCTCTCATTCCTGACTTTGACACAGCGTTTAGTGTCAAATTAAATCAGCAAAAAGTTATAACACAGTACCTGTATCGAAGCCATCGGGGCAGGCTTCTATCTTGTCATTCCACTCTTGGTGTTGGGAGCCTCGTACCAAGATGTTCCTGGTGAGGAGACCCACCTCAGCTCTGCCCTCAAACACAGTACCATCAGGCAGTGTGACAGTCACCCCGAGGTGAGTGTACTCGAGCGGCTCGGTCAGGGTTAGGGTCATGCCATCGGCTGACACGGCGGCGATCCTCCTCACCTCGTTCTCTCTCTGACTGTGTCTAAAAAAAGAAACAAATCATTTCTTCATGCAGCTCAATGACATCGTCTTACCAGTGTCCATTTACAGAATATATGGTAATACAGTATATGAGACTGGCTAACTCAGAGCTGTGTAAATCATTAAATGTGTAAATCCATCCACCTGTGACCTTTAGTGTTTCTTGTGACAGCAAATATTACCATAAGAACTACAATTTCAGATGAATAATTATGTGATCATATTTTATTGGTGTGAAATTTTGATTTTTTTTTTTTTTTTTTTTACCCTTAAGGGGAGGCGAATGTGTGTATAAGGTATTCATTTATTTCTATGTTTATCTCCCAGGAGTGCTTTTTCTGTGCTGCTCTGTTGAGATTTATTTCAACTTCATAGGATTTGGTTAATTTAAGGTATAATCCTGACATCGTCTTCTGGGGGTGCTTGACTTCACACACACAGTTATGAAACAACCTGTCACACATCCGCCTGAAGGTGTGTGTGTGTGTGTGTGTATGTTTTTCTGTTTATGTACTCAATCACAAAAAATACAGGAACCGTGAGGGTGAGAGGAAAGGGTTTAAATTTTTAAGACTCTAAGCCAAACTGTTTGACATATTTAAGTTGTAAAAGTTAAGACATATTTAAGTTGTATTTTTATACTTTTTAGGCTGATTATTGATCATTGTCACTGACTTCACATAAGGCCAGGGTTGAAAGACTTTAGCTCTCCAAAAAGGGGAAAGAAGAAAAATTTATGGGGAGCTCTAAAATATCACAATTTTTTGGTACCACTTCTGTTTTACTGTATAAATTTATATTTCTTGTATATTTAGATTCCTATTATCTTGCTCTGTGAGATGAACATTTGAGGCTGTGGACATGTTCATAATTGTCCTGGGATGCATCCTAGGTCTGGTCTATTAAATCAGGAGGACGACAAATGAGGGAGATAAATAAATTAGACCTCAGCCATATTGTTTTGTGGATAAAACATAGTTAGCGGCAGTCACTATGGTTCAGTTCTCATATGATGTTATTTTCTTTCTTTATTAATAACCGTATTTAAGAAAAAAAAATCCCCATTATCTTGGTTTCTGCTTCGACATGCATGAATCCATGACTTCGCTATACCTGTGGCCGGTGGAAGCGATGACAATTTCATCTCCAGCTTTCCATGTCACTGCTTTCATCAGAGTTAGTGTGACGGTGCCACTGGTTGCTGTTTGAGCCAGGTGGGTCCAGGGGACAGGAACTGGAATACCTGGAGAAACAGGTTGTCAACAATGAGGAGGGCTGATGAGGTGTCACTAATAATAACACCCCTTCGGGACACAAGACTCAAATGACCCTGTCCAGCTTACCATTACGTGACATAATGACATGTAATCACCGCTTTTGGAATGTTTGGGTCAGGACTATTTCTGTTTAACTGTTGCTTAATGAAAATTACTGCAGTGGAAGAAGTATTCTGATCCTTTTACAACAAATGCATGCTTCAGTACAGTTCACAATCTTATTTAAAGTCCCCCTCCAGACATGTTTTAAAGCAGTGGTTATCAATGTTTTTCAGGCCCCCTTAGCTGAAAGAGGGACAGAGCAGGGACCCCCTACTGCTTATATAAACTGTATAAAATTGAGCTGCACTTGAGATTCTCTCAATATATCCGAATGTGCTTGCTTGTAGCTGCTAAAGTAAGTCCCAACAGTTTTAGGATGGTTAAGTGTGTTAGCCTCCCCCTCTGCACTTGCACTGGTGACTTCTGGATGGACGGTGTGTCAGAGGCTCTTGCTTGAAAAGCCAATAACAAACCATTGTGGCTCACAAGACTGTCCGTGCGTTTGGAAAAACAGTACAGCTAACTGGCCAATTTGTTTCAATCGTACGTAACTGTTAGCTAACTAGTTCACCTCGCCATTATGGATAAGCGCTACACAGTGTGGTAAATTAATTTTAGTTATGAATAGGCCCATTTATCTTTCCTAATGTTTGATTTGTGTTAATGTGTTTTAAGATTTCTTTAAAAAAAAACAACAACTCTGAATTTCAATTTAAATGAAGCAATGTTTTTTTGTAGTTGTTGAGGTGTAACTGATTTTATTTAATCTATAAAGGCGCTGGCAGGCAGATTTTTCTTTGGTCAGAGCCAGGCTAACAGTTTCCCCTTCTTTCCAGTCTAAGCTAACCAGCTTCTGGCTGTAGCTTCATATTGATCCTTTCATCTTTCCATCTATGTTTGTGTGTGTTCATACCATGCAGGTCCAGCACTCCCTCTCTGACTGCCAGCGTCTTGGCTCCGTAGACAGGAAGTTCAGGTGCCCGCAGGTCTCCATGAAGTGTGATGATGGCTTTGTGCTGGAATGGCGCCCCCTCCTGGCCGATCTGAAGCCGTCCACCATCTGTAATCAGGATGTTTTCTGCCTGCAGCTCAATGTCTGCTTCATCAAAAATCAGTGACCCTCCTGAGCACAAGGAAACAGCAAATTACAAACCAAATACTGGTTGCAAAAAGAGTTTTATATTCTTGTACTGTGCATTTACACTGTATGTGAGGTGTCATTTAAATATATTACCTGATTGGGACATATAAAGTCTTGTTTGTTTTTGTGCAAAAAAATCAACAGCCTCTCTAATGATCCTACAAATGCTGCACCCAAAAATTATATATACTGTATATATAGAATATATTTAACTTCTTAAACATTCTTGAGTGAGTAGAAGATTTGAGCAGAAACATTTGACAAATTTTGAATCTAGAAAAGACTTATCTGTATCATACAAATTCAGAATGTCTGTATGGATAAATATTCAAAAGACCTGTTATAGAGTCATTTTTGTACCTTGAATGAGGAGCATTTTCAGCACAGGGGTGTTGGTGTCCAGCAGGATGGTCTGGCCTTTGGAGATGACAGCAAACGAGCCCTTCTCAGGTGGAGACAGACCGCCCCACGTGAACCTGGACGACCACACGTCAATGTAGAAGAAATCTGCATTATCCTGAAGAAAGGGAAAAGTACTGGATTAAGTCAAGCATATATTATAGAGATATGAAATCAGTCTCAATATATGTGAAACAGATGTGACACTGTGTTATGAGTAAAGTCAGGGGCTCTGACTGTCCTTTCTTACCATATTGGCGATGCCTTGGTCTCCTATGCTGACTCTGACTTTGGTTTCCTGTGACTGTCGCTGAGCGTTCGTAATACAGATGATGTGTGTGTTGTTAGTGGATTGAACGTCACACACAGAGCCTGCAATGGTCACGTTGAGTTCATTCATGTCAGTGCTGTAAGGAGGGAAAGACAGTGAACAATACATAAATAATTGATGAAATAACAGAGAGATGGATCAGATAGATGACTGTATGTATATATAAGAATATATAAAAGATACAATAACATAACTCTAACATAACAATAGAATATTAGATAACAATCATGTGATATACTGTAGTATGACTTTTCTCATTCTGGGTGTGTATTGGAAAACATTACGTGCCAAAAGTAACACCATGTATTTGCATTTAACCAACAATGAAAGCCAAGACATTCCATCAAACAAAAACAATTGTGTGGTGTAAGTTGAGCAGTTAATTCTTAACCAGTGGTTCATAATCTGGGTGTGACTCTCTGTGTCCTCTGTACACTGCAAAGTCTCTTCCTTTACTGCACCTGAAACCAGAGCCTGTGATTGTGAGCCGGGTGCCTCCAGCTGTGCCTCCTCTGCGTGGAGAAACCTCGGTGATCACCGGAGTCAACTGAGATTTGTAGGTGTAGCCATTTGATATGTTGACGGAATCCATCTGGTTGTTGACGGCAACCACGCAGCTCACCACTGATTGAGTCTCTGAGAGCAGACAGAGCAATAACAAGTAGACAGACACAGTTTAACAACAAAAGGACAGGAAGAATTAAGATGTGTGCTCAGAGATAACAAACAAGCCTTAGATGTTTTATCGTCCATGACAAGTTATTGTCTTATCTGACATGCCTATCATTTCACATGTAAGGCTGACAACATTCCTCATAGACAGTCTGTCTCCATTAGTCTTAATTTAAAGTTCAACTTAGACAGGACTGGTTTGTCATCATGAGTCGAGCGCAGAAACACATTCTTAACAAAGAATGACCAGAAAACCCTGTGTTGTGTGCAACCTTTAAACAAAGGTGTTAATTGGGAGAAGCAGTCTAATGATTACTTTGTGTTTGTGGGATGTACAAGATTATAGGCATGGCTTCAGATATGACAATAAAAATTCTTTGTGCCTCCCGTCATAATGGCAGCATTACAACTAATAAATAAATTAGAAATACTGTGTACATATCTTTGTTGTTAGCTTACTGACTCTACTTAAAATCTACAGTAACTAATATGGATCCTTATGAAGAGATTGTTCCCTGAACTGCTGTTCACGAGGTCAAATATCTATTTAAAATCATGTATATTTTTCCTCAAGAGAAAGATCTGACACTTAAAGGTATACTTTACAGAAATTATTGGCTGAAATTATTGATTGTTGTAAACAGTATCACCAGCAAAAGATAAAGTAAAAGCCAATCCCAGCTTGATGCCAAATGTTATATCTGTTTTTTCTTCACCACAGGCCACTATGTTTTTTTTCCCCTCACTGCTGCAGCTTAGACGCATTACCCCACTACTCACATTTATATCCCATTCATTCTCTATGTAAGCAGCCGTGCATTGCATTCTGGAAGCGCAGTGTTGCGTTTTGAAGGATGGGGCGTCTGCTCCTTGTTTGCATAAAGTTCAATGTAGGCTACTTTATACAAACCAGGAGTGTCCAGCACCACTCGCGGCTCTGAAACTACTGAAAAACCTTTAAACAAACTGTTGGCCATCTGAAATGAAGACATATTCAGCAACAACATGGCTTATTTCTGGCCCTACATGTTTTTTTTAGAAACACATTTAGGTGAACTGTTTTCATAATATAAGAGAAAGATCCTATCCAGATGTTGGTCCAGTTTGGAATCCAGGAGCAGACAGCCCAAATGTTTAGTGGCATGCCCATCAAGTGTCCAATGCTGGGAAGCAGTGCGACCCCTCACGTTTAGGACATGTAGCATCATACAGAATTTCTTTCTGTCTAAATGAAAACTTATTTTGATTTTACAATAAAGAGCATCACAAAATGATCTTTTCAAGGCTTTCAAATGGATTTTGAAGTTTGGACACCAGTGCATTTGATCAGCAGACTGTGTTATTTTATTTATTATTTTTGTTTGATCTGAGTTGACAATCCTGGTTGAAATGCAGTAAATTGAATTTACCGTTGATGGCTGGAGACTGGCAGTACAGACGGGTTGATGTGGACATTTCTCTTTGAACTTCACACTCCTCCCCGCAGATCGTCACAGTGGAGTTGTGCGGGTCAAACCCAGAGCCCTGCACAGACAGCAGGGCGCCACCACCGAAACTGCCTGAATCACAGATTAGAGAGAAAGAACTTAGTCAGTATGATAATATTAAAACTGAATTGTTGCTGAAGAATATCAGATTTTGCCACCACACAGGAGATTTAGAGTCCCACAGGTTCGATGGAACAGGTTGAGGAACACAAAAGTATAGGTCGTTCCTCAGTCAAATCAAAGTTTGGAGTACCTCTGTCAAACACTGAATGTAAAAGGGAGCAATTAAATTATTCACACTGCATCCACCTTTTGTAATATCTGATGCAAGTTGTAATGTTTGTAGTGTGGTTTTGTTGTTTGGTTGAGCTGCACTGGGTTCCCTATATGCCCTGGAGAAAAAGTTGACCCCTCTGATAGTCATTGTATATCACACTCTGTTTAGACCGTCTCTCTGCTCACCCTCGTTTGGCTGCACGCTGCTCAGAGTCAGCTCATACTTGAACGTGACATCTGACTCAGCGTAACCTTTGACCTGGTGATGCAGCATGATTTCGTATGCCCCTCCTGGGTTGTCTCCTGCCGTGCACTGAACCTGTGTGTCTGAGACTGTAGACACGACACAGGGGACATGGTTTATGGTGACAGAGATATGCTGAGAGTCGGTGCCAAATCCTGAACCCGTCAGTGTGATGACTGCACCACCCAGCCCTGTGATAAATAAACAGAGAGGGAAAGACAAGGTAATGATGAGAGAAGGTTTACATGGGACTGGATGTATACAATATGAACTTAAGACAGTGTTTTCTCCTGTTGTCAGGTTAAAATCAAGTTACTTTAATCATCGAGGATTAATTCTTTATACTGAAATTGTAAGGCCACATAAAGCTCTAGAGATCTAGAGATTTTTTTATGTACATTTCATCCTCACAGATTGATCTTGGTTTGTTTTTCTGTTTTACTGATCTTTTCTGTATGCACTTCTGTTAGAAAACAAGCAACTGCAGTCAGATGATATTTGTTGCAGTAATTTACTTGCAATGATTCTTTTATTGATTTATTTTCTGATCAAGGTTTACCACTGTGTAAAAATACTATATTACTACTATTTAAAACACTTCTGCACCCAATACACACATATGTTAAACTATATTTGATATAATTTTGCTGTTGTTAAATACCTCCAGCCTTTTTACTACAATTCATTAAGAATTTTCTTTCTTAATTTTTTTCTTTAATTTTTTTCCTAAATTCAATGTAACATGGCATAACTAATACAAATGGTCATTTTGTGAGTGATGTATTCCTTTAAGTAAATCGAATGAATGCCATCTCAAATAAGGTAACAAACTTTTCTCCTGACCAGTTTCTTGTTACAGGGTAGTGTTACTATGACTTAAGAATATAGAGTAACATAATTACCAGTGGTAGGGCTGATGGAGCTGATGATAGGAGTGTGAGCTGCAGAGTAGGTGAAGTTGAGGGGCGGATACTGCACTGAAAGCACCTGGATGATGACGATTACCAGCCCCTCATCGTGGGGAGGTGTCAGGCAGCGAAGCATTCCCGGCATCACTTCCTCAATCTCGCATGGTTCATCACCAACCATCACACTTGTGTTCCCCGGAGCGAAGCCATTCCCAGTGAAGACAAGAGGAGTTCCTCCTTCCACGCTGCCCATGTCGGGGTTGAGAGTGGCTTGGGCATGGCTGCTCAGAGTGACAGATCCGGATGCAAGGCCTTTGCTTCTTACAATCACTTCAATTGGATGGTTGCCTGCAGGCAGAGCATCAACTCGCACTTGGATGTTGTCATCAGCCACGGCAGTGACTTCCAGCTCTGAGGCGCTGGCAAAAACTGCCACGTTATCGACACTGTTGCCAAACCCTGAGCCAGAAATGGTGACAATGGTTGGATCGCTGATGCTGTCGGGGGAAATACTGGCAATTGCAGGAGTGACGGAAGAAGAGTATGTGAAGGAGCAGTTTGAATAACAGGAGCTTTGGATCCTGCCCATTTGGAAGACGACATCACCAGTGTGTGGCTGAGAAGGAGAGGTGTCACAGGTAATGAACGTGTAATTGACTGACACAACAGCGCACGGCTCGCTGGCAGTTGTCACTTGTCCTGAGGAGAAGCCAGAGCCTTCGATGAGGAGCCGTGTGTGGCCAGTAGGGCTGCCGATAGCAGGCGAGACCGAGTCGACCACAGGCAGAACAACAAAACGCCGGTCGAGCTCATTTGGTATGGCAAGGATGGCGCTGCCGAGGTTGTTGACTCTGATGGCTACGGGGAGAGGGACGCCAATGGGAAGTTCGCTGTCGTGGCTGAGGTGGCAGATGATCTCAGAGTGAGAGCTGTTGATCACCTGACAGGGCTCACCTCCCACTGTTACCTGCAGGACACAGAGACACCAAGCTGTCACAAAAAGCTCTGTATAGGCATTCACTTTATTTTAGGAGGTGACTGAACTCTAAGTAAAACACACTTCAGCTCCAGACAAGACGATGATGATGAAGCATCTGGAGTAGAAAGATATTGTAAATTATTTGTGTACAATCTGGAAACACACAGAGGCTCACTGACGGTTAAACTGGTTTGCTGCAGAGAACAAAATTAAGTCCTGTATATTTCATTCATAGTGACCTGTGACTGACATATAGCCTAATGATCATTGTAAATAATGGCAACACAACACACAATGTAAACTGGGTTTATTTCAATAACTGAATGTATATAATGCTGTAAAGGTCTCATACAGTGATACTCAACTTGAGGCCTGCCATAGGCTGCTAAGTGGCCCACTGACCATTTTCTCATTCACAGTAAAAATAAATTGATTCAGATTGGGATTTAGGGGCAGCACGGTGGTGTGGTGGTTAGCATTCTCGCCTCACAGCAAGAGGGTTGCTGGTTCGATCCCGGGCGTGGGAGTCCTTCTGTGCGGAGTTTGCATGTTCTCCCCGTGTCAACGTGGGTTCTCTCCGGGCACTCCAGCTTCCTCCCACAGTCCAAAGACATGCAGACTGGGGACTAGGTAACTCTAAATTGTCCGTAGGTGTGAATGTGAGCATGAATGGTTGTTTGTCTCTATGTGTCAGCCCTGTGATAGTCTGGTGACCTGTCCAGGGTGTACCCTGCCTCTCGCCCGATGTCAGCTGGGATAGGCTCCAGCCCCCCCGCGACCCTCAAGAGGATGAAGCGGTTAGAAGATGAAGATTGGGATTTATTTGTACTTTGAATGTAAATAATGGCCTGGAGTGCATAAAAAAACATCAGAAAAAAAGTTCCATGGGGGGATCTCCCGCATCCCCCGACAGATGTCTAGGCTAAACCCCAAATGTCTCCAAATTTTAGAAACACCCCTGCATACTCCTGACCTGTACCAGGCTGCTGAGACTTGACTTGCCCCTTGGCAAAGATGGGAGAGAACAGAAAATGTTGAAAAATTGAAAACAGGCAATTTATTTAACATATATATATATATATATGTATGCAGATTAATATAAAATATAAATATATAAATCGTGTTAGTTTATTAACTGGCCCCCTAGCTTCCTGTCACTTTGCAAAAGTGGCCCTCTGCCAAAGCCATTTTAACATTCCTGTTCTAGTGCCTCACAGAGTTGTTCTGTTTTATTGTTTTCCCAACTTTTGTTCAGATAAATAAAATAACTGGTTTAATTATCCTGCAAGTTTGTCAAATACAGACCTACTGATGCAAAACAAGCTATTCAAAAAGTATCCTTTCTTAGTTTTAGAACCTCAGCATTTACTTTTAAAAGACACACACAATTGGCAAAGATACAAATGAAATAAAACATGTAGAAGGTGAAGCTGAAAAAAAAGAAGATCAAAAACAAATTGGGGAATGCTATTGACTTTAAAAATTGTTATTTCTCTATTAAATGTTTATTTTATTGTTGCAGTGAACAACACCACTGTATGTGGTCTTCAGCACCATATCTCAGTGAAGAGTTAGTGGCGCAAAAGTATACAGTAGGTAACAATTTATAACAGGCCTTGAGTAATCTATTTAATTATCAACATGAAGAATAAATTACATGAAGAGAAGCTACTGTACAATTCTGTGATACTGAATAACATTTCAGTACATTGCAATTTATCAGTCTAGAGTGTTTTGGTGTGAGTTGCTGAGTGTTGGTAGAGATGTCTGCCTTCCCTCCAATATAATGCAACTAGATGTCACTTGGATTGTGGTGCTCAAAGCACCAACAACATACGTTTAAAAACTCAACAGCAGTGTGTCTTTCCAGAAATCCTGACACAATTACTCAAGATAATCCACAAGCCTTGCTGTGAGCAGTTTCATGTGGAAATCATTTTTTCAATCTTTTCTACAGGGCTTCATCGGCCGAACGTATCATTGCACAGAAGCAGGCATCTACTGCTAGCTCACCTAGCATCTCTGAGCTAGCTAACATTACAGCTCAGCTAAGGAGGATGCCATTAATGTTCATATTTCCCGCTGTCACAAGCATCAGCCTCTCGTCCATGAGTAGATGCACGCTTCCTTCTGCGTGGTGATACTGTTAGTTGGTAAACCAAATTAAATTCAGTTAGATGTGAGCCAATAAAAACCATGCTTACCTCATTAGCGCAGGTAATGTCGCTGAAGCTGTTGCCCTGGATGTGGATGAGCTGGTGGTATGATCCCTGGTTGGGAGAGATGGAGTGGACTGTGGGGGTGGAGCAGGTGGAGGCGCTGAAGGAAAGGCTGTTTGAGGTGTTGGTCTGTGGGCACTGTGGGGAGGCGACACACTGTGTGGCTGATCTAGAGGAGCGATGTGGACCTGAAGGGGAGGCAATTTAATCCATTGATCAGTTGCAAACTGATAACTGGTCTTTACCTCACTTTGATCTCAATTGGACTCTGCTTGATGTTGAGTTTTTGTCCTGGTGTTTTGACACACCTGGGCTTTGATGAGTTGTTGTAGAGAGATCTATTGATCCTCAAGGAACTCATTAAGTATCACTTTTAAATTTACCTCCCAACACATGTCTGGCCTCCATGCCTCCAACGCTGACAGAGACCCTGCTGCTCATATCTGCCCGAGCCTTGACTCTCACAACTCCCTGCAGTAGCCTGGCGTGGGCATTGTCTATGTAGCCGCTGCTGTAGTAGTACACACCAGGTATAGTGAAACGGTAGCTGAAAAACCCTGAGGGGAGCGACAAAGGGAGGGAAGAACTGTTAATAAGTGACTGTGTTTACAAGGTCTTTAGTATCCCGGTTTTGAGGCTTATCCCGGCTTTGAGCATATCCGGGATATGATGTTTACATGGAACACAGAGAAACCCGGTTATTCATATCCCTGTATACATGATAAATACCAGTAACCCGTTTTCTGATCACTGCATCCTATCTGCGCAGGTGTGTGTTATGTCTTTTACGTCTTTTGTTTACAACAGATTGAGCGGGAAATGTGATATATTTATTATATTTAGAAGTAAGACAAAAATGAGACCTCTGTGGCTTCTAGTGGGCTTAGCGTTAGTAAATACTCACGTCGCATTGCAGCTATGGCTCATCCACTTCATCTTCAGCAATGGGAGAAGAGAGCGACAACAAATATTGAATATGTCACCAACTTTGATAGGTATTCAGCTGTCACTGCCACCACGCAGTACAAGGCAACAGTGGATGAAAATACGTAGCCATGACTGGTGGGATAGGATCGTTCTCATGGAGTTTACAGATTCAGAGAGGAGAGAAAACTTCAGAATGAGTAGGGCATCCTTCAGCTGGCTGTGTGACGTAGTTGAACCATTCATAAAACCGGGATAAGGCGTATACATGCTCCAGTATCCCGGCTTCTATTGGAGTACTCCAGGTGGCAAAACCGGATTTCTTGAAACCGGGAAAAGGCCATAACCCAGTTTCTGAATTCGGGATATGGTGTTTACATGCACATACACAAAAACAGGATACTTAAAAAACCCAATCAAAACCAGGATACTAAAGACCTTGTAAACACAGACAGTGACATCAAATCATGAAGCATTCTTGGACACGGAGTGCATTTGTCTCTCATGCATGTTGAAAGGCGTGGCACATCACATGGTACACATACTATTCATCACGTTTCACATATCACACATCCCACATCACAACATCGCAGACAAAGGAAAAATCCACCTTGCTGTTTGTTTGGTAGTTAGATTTTGTCATTAGGTGAAATTATGTTATGTTATGAGATTATGTATTTCTTGTGCAGCTACAGCAGAATTGATGGGAAATTAACTGGAACCACCATCAATCTTTGGACCTCACTATTTGTGTCTTTCAGCACTGTCTCTTGGATGCCTACTGCTTATGGTTTAGCATCTGGTAGCTATCGTTTTATGAAGCCCTGATCTCATCTGAGCGCTGTGGGGGTACACGCCAATAAACGTCCCTAACACAGAAAATGAAAAAAAATGAGAAAATACAGGCAGAGGGCAGAGTCTCTGCAGAAAAATAAACCGCCACACACTGACAGTAGGTCATAAGTGTTGATTGAGAGGAATTACTTGTGTATAAGTATATACATGTTTTTTCAGGAAAATTCTGTACAGTTTACCTTTAAGCTACAACCTAGACTTTTTTGGCATATATTTTGTTTTCCTTTAGTTTTTCCCTTTAATTTAATGCTGTGTTGTTGTTTTTTATTATTTATTATGTGCGTTCATTTTGGAAATTTGTTAACAAGGTCCAGAATAAATTACCACTATACTGACACAAGCCTGCATAGGCACATAACATCCAACCCGTTCTTATCTCAAGTCGTCACATATCACCACGTTATCAGTGGCCTTTCATGTCTACATATTACATAATTGGAATCCTTTTGTGTCTGCTCTTGATAATGTTGCAAACAATGTGAGACTTCAACAAAAGCTCATGGTAAGGTTTACACAACAAAAGAGCATGCTTAGGTTTACAAAAACATATCATAGTTTGGAATTGAAAAGATTTGAGGGTGGATTTTCCTTTAATTGAAGAGAAGCTCTGTAACAATAATGGAAAAGTGTTTTTTGGTAGTAAATGAGAGGGCTCCTTGTCATTTCTGTTAAGGGCTACTGACTCAGTACTCAATACTCAGTACTCTACCTTTTTGTGTCTTTCCTCCACTGTTAAATGGTCCCTCCTCGTAGGTGGTGCCACTTGGGCTAGAAACACTGAAGACACTGTACCATACATTCTGGAAAGCTGGTGCCTCCCATCGCCACTTAACTGTGTCTCCAACAAGCACTGTGAGTGAGGCAGGACTCCATGCATACCCCTGTCCATAAGCTGTTACACACAGACAAATGTGAAGTTAGACAGCTAGATTAACTCACAAAGGACATATTTCATTGTCTCAGGTTAAGCAACATGTAATTAAAATACCATTAAAATGGCTAATCATGGAAAAAGTATTGAGGTCAAACTGGTTTTTGAAACAGTTGCAGTGCAGTAACATTTAATCTACAGGTGACAGCTTCTTTGCTTGAGGCAGTTTTCAGTAACAGGATGCTTTCTCTGTTTTGGCCCACTCAGATTTAATTTAACACTTGCAAAAAGGATCGAAACGTAAACCTACTGTGGTGGAATCCCTGATTGGTGACGGTGTAGGTCCTCTCGTTTGACTGCATATCACACTGCAGTTCATTCTCTGAGGCAGTCTTCACTTCACACTCAGCTTCTCCTGTCACACCACAAGCCAACACAAAACATGTGTGAGAACATATACATACCCCCAGAGCAACTACATTATAGTACTTCTTTTCTATATACTGCAAGTAGTGTTGCTTCTGTAGATTACCACCAGCTAGTTGCCCTACTAGTTCCCTCTTCAACTGTTAATGTTTGGTAAAATGCTGACAGTTTTGAATAGACTGCTGGCAGAGATTATTGCTGTAATTATGAGTTCATTTGAAATTGCTAGCCCTTATGTTGCTTACCAAAGGAAACTCTGTTGTCAGATGTGTTGCTGCTGAAACCAGATCCAAAAATAGTCAGCCTGGTTCCTCCCATCAAGGAGCCAAGCTGTGGGGAGATGCTGTGGACTTCCAGGATGTATTCAATGGTAGCGTTCACACCGTTGCTTAAGCAAAAAAGCAGAAAAGAATCCATTTTAGTCCCAAGGAGCTGTATATGACATTTAGTGATTATCTATAATGCAGAGTCTGGGGTCAGATCTGCACACAGCTCTTAACAAGGAGGTGGCTGAGCTGGCGGCTAACAGTTACCTGTACTAACTCAACACTAAACAACAATGAACAATGTTAAACAACAGTTCTGACAGGGCTAGGGGTGTTAATGTAGGGGAAACCCGAGGATAGGTGCTACGCTCCCGCAATGACACCATCCCGATATAAGCAGTATCTGTGACAAATATAACCTCTCAAGGCTCTCTATGGTCGCAGAAAAACTTTTCTATTGAATAGCATCAAGGAGAGTGGAATGCCCGAAAAATGAAAACGTATCAGTGCAAACAAAATTTTAAGGAGGCTGAACAAAAGAATGCAAAAAAGGAAAACAAGGCGCATTCCCTGAACTGTAAAGCATCATTAGGTTTATGTCTGTTTATGTCACAGCAGACGTTGAGACATAAGATTACAACATGGCTGTAGTAATATGCTACATATTTGTGAATTTGGGGACATTTAATTAACCTCAAAATAAAAGGTTTGTCTACTGACACTCCCAGGGACCTCTGTGCTTTGCCGCCTCATATTGTTTTTGGGTGAGCTTTTCTTTTAAGTATGTTTTCGACCATACATACTGTTGGATTTTTGTTTCTGTATGCCTATAAATCTATAAAAAATTCGGGGGACTTTTTTACAAAATGATGTGTAAAAGTTTTGATAAACATCCTTATCTTTAGATCTACTATTGCATCTAACCCTTACACAATGAGTAACCAAAGTTCATGTGACTTTTTGGTGTGCAAGAAAAAAAAAATCATGGCTTGCGATACTGTCAGCACTTTCAGTTGTTATCACAGCAGCTATACCTTGTCTGGGGGTACCCATTGTTTCCAACCTGTACATCCACCTTGTACAAGCCCGGCGGCAGCACAGGGAGATGACAGGTGATGCTTGTCTCCGTCCACTGAATGGTCACACACTCCCTTCTGCCTATGAACACGATGCTGTCATTGTCTGGGCCTCCCAGGTTGGAGCCCTGGATGGTGAGAATTTCCTGTGCTACACAAAGGAAGTTAAAAAAGGAAACATCAACAGAATTTTACCACAGACTCAAGTGTCAAGATAATTAGCACTTGTCACCTGGTTAATTCTTCTTAATTTTCAAGAACTACCACTGACTGTCCTGCAAATAAACAGGTATTCTTGGCATCTGGATGCCTCTGTGTTTGTTAACTATAATTACATGGGGAGACATGTTAGTCTCTCAAGCTTAAATTCTCAAGGTTTAGCTTGTGCGAAGGGCAAAAACAGAAAAAACCTGCAGGTCCACATTACGTGACACAATAACTAATGAAGTGACAGTGATAACAAAAGATTTCAGCACTCCTTTAAGCTCCTGGTGACAGTAGAGTCACAGGCAATCTCTGAACAGAAAAGCCCCAAAACATCTATTATGCTATTCATCTTCCCTTCAGACACATATGTAACAGAGAAGCCTTTCAAGTTACAAAGTCACACTTTTAAAGGGACAGTTCACCACATATCTAAAATACATATTTTTCCTCTTACATGTAGTGCTATTTATCAGTCTAGATTGTTTTGGTGAGAGTTGAGGAGTGTATTTTTTGATTTTGGCATGAACTGTCCTTTTAACCTCAACTACTCCGATATTTGTGTTATGTTTGAAAAAAAAAAAAAAGATAGAAGGAGTCCTTAAGTTGACTTCTAGTAACCTGTTATATATCTGCTTAGTAATATAGGAAATGGCATGATAATATTGTCTACAATTTAAAAGAAGACACAGAACAAACTGTTCTCATAGAACTGATTTGCAAATGACAAATGTACAATGCCTACTGTATGATAAGTAAGTGGTTTGTTTTGCTAGAGAAACATAAGATTGGAAATATTATGAGGTGTGGCATTGGCAAACACAATGATTAAACACTGAATCCTTTTCATTCATAAACAAAGAGAAAGCAGACTATACTCTGTGTCTGTTGCATGCAGTAGACAGATCAAATTTCTATTGACCTTTCAGGACAAAACCCATCATCCCCATTAAACCTTTCTTCTGGGTTTACCCATCTCAGTAATGCTTTATAATGATCATGCCTCACTGAAAGGTTATCAGATGCATGAATACAGTTTATGAAGGCCCTAAAATGACTCTCAACTCACCAATCACTGTGGTAGTTTGAGGACTCAGGTCTGAGATCAGAGGTGTAAGGTCAGTATCATAGGTGAAGGAGCTGCTGGCTGTCTGACTCATGTTTCCAACCATCACTGTGACGCTCTGTGATCCTGCAGTTCCCTGAAATAAGATTACAAGCATTTATCTATTAATAAATCAGTAAAAGAAATCAAATAAGTGCCTTATTCAGAGCTCAGGCTCTTTGCAAGGCTGGAAAATGAAGGCAAACTATGAACTTGTCATGTTCAAATTATTTGTTGATAAAAGACGAAACATCGTTTTAACTTTCACACACAATTTAAATGTTGAATTCATATTCAATAAAACATAAATTAATCAGGAGATTTGTTGCTACAGCCTTCAGGCCCTGCACTACGAGGGGTCTTAATGGGGCTTAGCCCCCTCTGTTGTATTTTTTGCCCTCTTTGTTTAAGCTTTTTGAAGGGCTACGCTGTCCACAGCACTGAAACGGAGCAGAGGAGGTTGGTAGACAGACAGACAAACAGACGGACATAACATAACACTTATTTCAGTGCTTGCTTTCGCTTTGTAAATAGAACTTTTGGCCCTGATTCCATTTTACCCTTGCTCTGGACTGCAAACAGCTGTTTCTGCTGATTTTGACTGAGAACCCTCCTCACAATTTTCAACAACCCCTGAGGTCACTTTATCCTGGCCCCTGGCCCAACAGTTTTACAGTACTTGAACTGGTAGCTAATATTTGCTCATGTTATCCAGTGTTAGACATTTCTGTGTAAGTGATATCATTGAGTTAGTTTTCTGACTTTTTGGCTCATCTCTAAAACTACTTTTTTTACGTACCATTGTGCTGTAATTGCTGCAAAGATTAGTACAAAGACTTGGTTAAAAGCAGCCATGTAACATTTTATTTACTCAATCCTTATACTATCAAAAGTAGTAAGATATTTTAATTAATTCTGAAGTATAATGGTTTAGCAATTTTACAGACATTTACACTAAGTGTATAGTAAGTGCTCTGTGCCCTGTAATGCAGCTCTTTGAGTTGTTTATTACGGCAGAAACATAACATTCATAACAAAACAGTAATTTGCAGTCTGTTACTTACCGCTGGTGTTCTGCATTTCAGCTCAGTCTCAGTGGCATACATCAAAGTGCACTCTGCACTGCCAACAGTAACTGTGGTGTTCTGGCTGAAGCCAAAACCTGTCACTGTCAGCACTGTACCTCCTAAAAAAATAAATAAAAGAAGACAATGGTTATATACTGTTGTATTACAGAGAAAGTGATTCTGGTTGTTGATTTGTGATAAATAATAACAGACACACTTTCTTGAGTAATGTCTTACCTGCCACACTTCCAGAGAGTGGTGAGAACGAGGAAACAATGAGCTGGTAGGTGAAGTGGAAGATGTTGCCTCCTGCATTACCCAGAGAGGGGAAGCTGACAAATACAGGGTAGGTACCAGCACTGGCACTGCCCAGTCTGCAAACCTGAGTGGTACCTGAAATACAGTGGACAAAATTTGGATAAACTTCTTGTACTAAATGAAATCAACAAACAAACAAACAAACAAAAACCCCAGCTGACTCATTTTAACAATAACATCCAGCACTCACTCCTCTGAACATCTTTAACTTACCGGTGATCTGTTCAACATGACATGGGGTCTTTCCCACAAAGATGGAAGCGTTCTCACTACTAAAGCCAGTTCCACTGACAGTCAGAAGAGTCCCCAGGCCATCAGATCCTAAAAAAATCAGAGATATATTTAAAGATGAGCATTAACCAGCCTAAATCTTCAAAGGGACAAATCACCCCAAAATCAAAAATTATTTTTTCCTCCTACCTGTAGTGTTTTTTTTGTCAATCTAGATTGTACTGTGTGAGTTGCCAAGAGATATTTCATATATTTTCTTTCAACCAAACTTCACCTGCCCACTGTATCATCATGCAAAAGGAAGCGGGCATCGACTGGGAGCTCACCCAGCAGCTCAACCGAGGAGGACGCCATTAATGTTTACATCTCCTACTGTCACAAGCACGAATCTCTCATCTATGAGTAGATGCACACTTCCTTCTGTGCAGTGATATGGTTGCTGGGTGTTTTTCGGTGGGAAGAAAATAGTTCCTATATGAAACTGCTCACAACGAGGTCTGTGGATTATCTTGATTCGTTTTTTCAAATGTATTTTTGGGCGCTTTGAGCACCACAAGCGAGACACAGAAGACAACACAACTCACACCAAAAAGAGATTCGACTCTAGACTGATAAATAGTACTAAAGGTGAGAGGAAAAGTATATATTCTTGATTTTGGGGTTAACTATCTCTTTAGTATGGTTTTCTATAAAAACTGGCAATTCACTAAAGCATATGGGGTTTTTGTAAGTTATTCAGTACTTTAAAATTCAATATTTTATAGATGGTACTGAATTTTTCACACGTATTACAATATATTTTTACCAAAGTCTACACCAGTAGTCTTTTTCTAATGTTTGGTTTTAAGTGTCTCTCAGATTTTACACAAATGTTTGTTTGTTTGTTTTTTCATTTAGAAGAATAAAAATTGGTAATATTGGGCATTTAAAATCAATCAGTAACCAATAATGATTCATGTTGAATGAACAATCATTATCTTAGAAGGAAACCTTGAGATGGGCTAATTCCAGTCACAACTGGAGTCTTGTCCTCAGACCACTCAAACCCACAGTCACCAGAACACGCTGAGGGAATGCCGTTGATGTAAACCTCCACCTGCAAACAGCATCACAAAACTTCTCATTACAAGTGTTGAGTTTAGGACAAAGTTTTACAACACATAAGTGACACAGTGGATTGAAATAACCCCTAATGTGAATTCACTGTGACAACAGTCATGACAAGAGAATACAGAGGACTGTCGCTGTCACTTCAATTCAAAGCAGTCATTCAGTAGCATGTAATCATTTGAATCAAATCCTCCCCAGAGGCACAAATATACAGCCAAATTATGTAACACTACAGACAAAAATAGGACTTGTTCTACAGGATTTACAGTAAGCAAACACACCAAGTAACCAGCAGTGGCCAAAGCAGACATTTAATGGACAGATAATGTTGAAACCCAAAACCAGATATGCCTGAGTCCTTTGGAATCAGTGTTGTACCTGTGGTTTTGTTTCTGGGACACGGTAGGTATCTGTCATTCTTTGCCTAAACAATCCTCCTTTTTTCATCTCTTTGGTTACAACAACTGCGTTGTTGCCAACCACGGATGAGCTGTCGACCTGTAATGAGAATAAATCACAATAAGAACTCAAGCCACTGTTCTTTTTTGCCAGGAGAAAATGTATTGATTGGAACAGAAGACAATAGGTAAATACTGTAAATAAAACTACCACCAACGCAGTAGTTACTGTATCACTACTACTAGTAGGGGAGACCTGGGTTGGATGGTACACAGCAACTTTCTGGTTCTATGTTGGTCACAGAAATAAAAATGTGACATCACAATCAATATCATTTATTGTTTTCAATTAACATAAATGATATTGCTTATTTTTTTGAAACTGTAACTTATTTGATAGGACATCTTAAGAATGAAAGGGGGAGAGAGAGGGGATGACATGCAGCAAAGTGCCACAGGTTGCAATCGAGCATGCACAGCTGTGTAAAGCTGTAGCAGTTTAACAATGTGCCAACCAACATCACGTGTGCCAACAAATCCTGTCGTGGGGCTGGTTGGCACAGATGCACAACATGAAATTAATCACAAATCACCTAACATTTGTGTCTATTAAAACAAGTTACAGGTAAGACCTTAATCTTTTGTTTGCTGCTGGTTATAATATTCTCAAATAAATTATGTCAGAGAAATACGGCAGCGGGTGAAAAGTATGCAAGCCAACCCTGGTCTCCCTTACTACCACTACTGCTGCTGCTGCAGCTACAGTACTACTACTGTTACTACTGGCGTTAGTTTAATTAAATTTTGGACACAGAAAAACAGAAGTGAAACAGAGGTCAAGAAGCTGTCTCCAAAATTAAGAATAAAAACAGCAATTAAAAAAATTTGAAAAATAAAATATATACAAATAAAATAAGGTAATATTAGCAAAAAAACAAAACAGAGCTATGCAGCACGAATCAGCTGAGAATAAAAGACACTGTCAAGATGAATTAGACATCTTAGCATTTTGAAATGATCTGAAGCTCTTAACGGAATCAAGGAAACATTGATGTGTCTGGTTTTACAGAAGCAAAGTTTTGTATTATGAGCATGAATTAAACATTTTAATTTGAAGAAGTTACTAAATGAATGCGAGGTAGAAGTCAAGAACATACATTTAGATGTGAGAACACATATCTGATGACTATTATATCTGTGTCATATTGTTACTCTGAGCACTGCCACAGCTACTAGTACTGCAAATAAAATCTTGAATACTAAAGAGAATTTGTTAGAGTGTTTTAGATCCATGCATCAATATTACAACGTATGCTCACACAATGATTTGTATGATATCTATTGAATTAACGCCCCACAAATGTAGTTGTCACATAATATACTTAAAGTAAATTTATGTAGGTTAGGTTTATGAAAGTAAAGTTGCATAGGCTAGGTTTTGGAGAAGAAACATGGAGACAATGCACCTCAAAATAACTCAAAGTTTTCTTGGTTTCACACAAGGGGATGAACACTGATTTCCTGGGAGAGAGTAATGTGTTTGTTTGACCAATCCATCACCCCAGCCTGCATCCTAATGCGGACCTTTGCTCTTTATACTTCTTCCTTCTTCACTCTCGTCGGGGAATTGGTCACATGATGACCAATCACCAACGTGATATACAGTACAGGCCAAAAGTTTGGACACACCTTCTCATTCAATGCGTTTTCTTTATTTTCATGACTATTTACATTGTAGATTCTCACTGAAGGCATCAAAACTATGAATGAACACATGTGGAGTTATGTACTTAACGAAAAAAGGTGAAATAACTGAAAACATGTTTTATATTCTAGTTTCTTCAAAATAGCCACCCTTTGCTCTGATTACTGCTTTGCACACTCTTGGCATTCTCTCTATGAGCTTCAAGAGGTAGTCACCTGAAATGGTTTTCCAACAGTCTTGAAGGAGTTCCCAGAGGTGTTTAGCACTTGTTGGCCCCTTTGCCTTCACTCTGCGGTCCAGCTCACCCCAAACCATCTCGATTGGGTTCAGGTCCGGTGACTGTGGAGGCCAGGTCATCTGCCGCAGCACTCCATCACTCTCCTTCTTGGTCAAATAGCCCTTACACAGCCTGGAGGTGTGTTTGGGGTCATTGTCCTGTTGAAAAATAAATGATCGTCCAACTAAACGCAAACTGGATGGGATGGCATGTCGCTGCAGGATGCTGTGGTAGCCATGCTGGTTCAGTGTGCCTTCAATTTTGAATAAATCCCCAACGGTGTCACCAGCAAAACACCCCCACACCATCACACCTCCTCCTCCATGCTTCACAGTGGGAACCAGGCATGTGGAATCCATCCGTTCACCTTTTCTGCGTCTCACAAAGACACGGCGGTTGGAACCAAAGATCTCAAATTTGGACTCATCAGACCAAAGCACAGACTTCCACTGGTCTAATGTCCATTCCTTGTGTTTCTTGGCCCAAACAAATCTCTTCTGCTTGTTGCCTCTCCTTAGCAGTGGTTTCCTAGCAGCTATTTGACCATGAAGGCCTGATTCGCGCAGTCTCCTCTTAACAGTTGTTCTAGAGATGGGTCTGCTGCTAGAACTCTGTGTGGCATTCATCTGGTCTCTGATCTGAGCTGCTGTTAACTTGCCATTTCTGAGGCTGGTGACTCGGATGAACTTATCCTCAGAAGCAGAGGTGACTCTTGGTCTTCCTTTCCTGGGTCGGTCCTCATGTGTGCCAGTTTCGTTGTAGCGCTTGATGGTTTTTGCGACTCCACTTGGGGACACATTTAAAGTTTTTGCAATTTTCTGGACTGACAGACCTTCATTTCTTAAAGTAATGATGGCCACTCATTTTTCTTTAGTTAGCTGATTGGTTCTTGCCATAATATGAATTTTAACAGTTGTCCAATAGGGCTGTCGGCTGTGTATTAACCTGACTTCTGCACAACACAACTGATGGTCCCAACCCCATTAATAAAGCAAGAAATTCCACTAATTAACCCTGATAAGGCACACCTGTGAAGTGGAAACCATTTCAGGTGACTACCTCTTGAAGCTCATCGAGAGAATGCCAAGAGTGTGCAAAGCAGTAATCAGAGCAAAGGGTGGCTATTTTGAAGAAACTAGAATATAAAACATGTTTTCAGTTATTTCACCTTTTTTTGTTAAGTACATAACTCCACATGTGTTCATTCATAGTTTTGATGCCTTCAGTGAGAATCTACAATGTAAATAGTCATGAAAATAAAGAAAATGCATTGAATGAGAAGGTGTGTCCAAACTTTTGGCCTGTACTGTATATGAATTGTGTTGCATTACTTTTCGTAGGTTTACACATCAGCACTGCATAAGAACAGCCTAATTTTATCTTTAAAAAAAAACAATACAGTAATGATGAAATAAGAGTCTGACCTTCATCAGAGGTTGGTCTCCAGGATTAGTGAGCCACTTGACCTGCCACTTTGGTTTTCTGCAGCTTCCTAGCCATGATACGCTGACCTGACCCATCCCTGTGATTCCCTCCAGAGCATACTTGAGGTCCTCCTCACTGATGTCCACTGACAGGCCTGAGAACAAGCACGGTTATGTTAGGACAACTCCCTGCAAAAGCAGCTGTTACACATTGTACAGAGTGCATGTATGTGCAAACAGACTGCTGCATAAAGGCGTGGAGTGCTATGTCTTTCCCAGAGTCTTAACCACATCACTAACTGTCTCTTTACAGGGTATCTGAACTGTGCTCAAGTATGGCCAGGAAAACTACAAGTTGTCAGTTTGGTTTTTCACCAGTCTTACGAAGATAAAGTAAATAAGGGAGCAGTAGTTAATGAGCAGAAAACTGAGCAACATTAAGAACAATTACTTACAGTATAGGTGGGAAAGCTAAAAGATAAACTGAAGCTAAAAATTTCAGACAAAAACTTCATGAATGTATTTTATAGTCATTATGTAATTATTTAAATTACAAGACACATTAGAGATACCTCTGCCAATATTGCCTCCTGCTCTCTCTGTCTTTGTTTTTGTGTACATTAAGTTTTCACAGTACAGTAACTGATAGGAGGAGTGACTGCATGCAAATAAAGGAGCCTTGGAAACTGTCCGTGCGTCACATTTACATTGTGTTAATGTTAGCTTCTCATTAGTACAATACCAACACTGGCATGGTGGTGATCCTATCTGCTGAACAAAGTGCATTCAGCCAGGACAGTAAGAGCTGTTACAATGCAAATACTACACATGTCTGTCTAAGCTACCTTCAGCTCGTTCTCCATAAATCTCCACATCAAAGGTGCCATTCAGAGGAGGGGTGGCTCTGTGAGGGCGGGTGATGTTAACGGTGGCTGCTCCTTCCTTGAACTCTGCCATGTCCTCGCTGCTGTAAGACATCTATGATATACAAGTGGAGAAAGATGAGAATTATATTTGTTTTTATACCATTTATATATATATATATATATATATATATATACACACACACACATATATATATATATATATACATATAATATACATACATATATATATATATATATATACATATAATATACATACATATACACTGATGATGACTTTATGATAATGATTTTATACCTAGACTGAGACAACAATTTAAGATCAGGGACTTGAACATGTGACGAATGATAAGCCTTCAAGCTAGCTTAGCTTAACTAGCTTAGTTTGGCTGTATACCAGCTTTAAGTGGCTGATCTGGCTACACCAGTATTGTGGATTTCAGACCTTGAATTGTCTCATTGTCGAATTTTCAATTATGTGCGAAAAAGTAGAGGCCATAAAAAGGTTGCTGAACTTTATGTCGGGAAAGATGGCAGGTATCTCAAAACAACAAAAACGAATACTAGACTTGACTTCTTTGTCCTCTTATGTTGGATTGAGGGCAGACTGGACGCAAGAGGGACTTGCTATCACCTTTCAAGGTATAAGCGGTATTATAGGACAGGAAGGGCCGGCACTCGCTGGTTAGCATGTTATTACAGTAGATATCTCAGCAACATAATACATGGACTTCTTTGACATGACGTCAAAAGTTGACAATGTTAGTTCATTTTTTAAAAATATTTTGAACTAAAATTCTTGCCATATCTTACACATTGTACTTTATACAAATCAGTTTAGATAAGAAAACAATACCTGTTTTTGGATACATATTTATAAAACTTAACTGCAGTGGCAAAATCATTACAAATACTGTAGAATGAGGTAACGATGGTTAAACATCAGATTAACTGTCAAAATTAATGATAACAAATGTTACAACAGAAACTATACCCTGCAGTCACACTTTTCCGTGCCAGCCCTTACACAGCAGTCAGTCATTGATGTCACGGCTGCAAATAGGTAGGCAAATGATTACTGTAGAAGCAGGTCGAAGCATGAGACACGCACAGGATCACTGTGGCTGTATTGTAAGTTATGTCACACAGCCATGGGCTACAGAACACTTCCTCTGTTTTTATGATTCACACTGCTGAATCTGTTCCTTTAAATCGGACACCTGGTTTTCCTTGTGGAAAGTTCTTGTCTTTGCTTTTAAAAAGAACTTTATTGGGATAAATCCTACAATTTACTACATGCTTGTATTGGCTTTTTGTCTATTTTATTGGTTCAGAGTTTGGTGCAGTTGCGTCATAGCTGAAAGACTTCTGGCCCCAGCCCTTCCTTTGTGTGGATTTTATTTCCCAAGACACACAAGCCAGGCAGATTAGAGACTCCACATTGTTAAGCCAACAGACTCTGACTGTACTGAAGCAAATGGGAAAGCCCCAGCATACCTCAAGGCCGTAGCCATGAAGTCAACATTGGTGGGGCACAAATCTGCCAAATTTTCAAATTTCAAAATTTGAAAACTAATTTCATACTTTATTTATTTACAGTAGACTATTAGCTGCTATTGTCTATATAAATTAAACATGTAACATAACTGACTGACACTTCACTCAGACATCACATGGGCTATCTGACATATATAACATAATAAAGACATTACCATTAGTTTATCACTTTCATGAGCACTATTGGTCAATACCAGTGGGGTTGTCCCTACTATATATTATAATTACTGTCTTGACATAACTCAACACTTGACACATTTTTTTAAATCAAGAAGTTAGGATCTCAACAGCTAGAAACACTGTCTTTCATATGTGTGTAAATATTGTTCCATTTAGAAATATTGAGGCTCACGAGTTGATGTTTTGGGAAATGTCTGAATAACTGACAGGTGGTTGCCCCTTTTTTACTTCTCTTCAGCTTCACCCTAAGAGCCACACCTTGCCAAACTTTGAATTTCATGGCTCTAAATAACAAGATGAACCTAAACTGTCTGGACAGTACATCTGTGTTTTTCTGCAGTCTACACTGCTATCCAAAGAATAAATATATGTAGGTTAAAAAAATGACGTTTTAATATAACACTGTTAGATAAATTCAATTAATCCATTACCTGCATGAAGGCAACTTCTAGCAGTGGGAAATCAAAGGCACAGTCATCCGGTGTGGCTGTAATCTCGTAGCTGATCTGTGAAGCAGTGGGTGTGTGTTTGGTAACAGTGATCATCTCGAAGGAACGACCTGAGAACTCAAAGGGTGGAGGTCTCCTCTTGTGGGGTACAACTGTAAGAAAACAATGCAAAAAACAAACTGCTGAACATCTAAGTCTTGATATTAGAGAAAAACATCTGCACAGTCCTACTGTTACACATCAATATCACATTTCATTAAGGGAAAGGCATTCCCATGCTCCACAATGCTGAATTGTTACAAACAATGTGCAGACAACATAATTAAATGTCGTCCGAATGCACAGTTGGCTCAACATTAAAGAACATTCAAAATTACTATCTAGCTGCATACCATTTTCATCAACTGTGGTGGGCCGCTTTCCAATGTGAACGGCATCCACATAGAAATCTTCACCAGAGATGTCTTTGTAGAGGTAAAACTCGTGCAAACTGTATTCGCTTCCAATGTATTCTGTCTGCAGGGAGCTCTGCAGGTCCATGCATTTATAACTCCATCTGTCAAGAAATAATCACCTTTATAAGTGGATGAGAAGTTTGCATGTATCTGACAAATTAAAAGGACTCCATGGCATCTACTGACTTGTGGCCTTTAGTGAAGAGAGTGCTGATCTTTGCGGTCTCTGTATGCATTGTGCCTTGGATGTTGCGGTAAGTGAACTTCATTCCAACTTCATCCTTTAACATTCCCCTGTATGCAAAGCAAAGCTGCGAGGAAAGATAAAGGGTAAATCACAGTTTAGTAGCCTTTTATAGACAGTAGTAGCAAAGATTTAATTAGATACCTGCATGTTTAGATACATTTATCAGCTACTTTCTTCATCCAACCATCTAACCAGCTGTACAAAATGAGCTAGAGGCCGATTAAACGATTAGTTGACTGACAGAAAATTAATTGGCAATGATTTTGATTTATTTTAGCAATTTTCTAAGAAAAAAATCCAAACATTTGCAGGTGACATGCTTCTTAAATGTGACAATTAGATGCTTATAGTTGCCATGCATGATAATAAACAGATTGGTTTTGGATTTTTGGACTACTGGTCAGATAAAACATACCATCTGAAGACGTCACCTTGGGCTCTGGGAAATTACACAGGGCATGTTTCACTGTTTCCTCATATTTCATTGATAAAAAGATTAATCAATGAAAATGATTGTTAGTTGCAGCCCTAAAATGGACAAAAAGTAAAACAGTTGTGTGTATTACCATGGGATGTCTGTTCAGTGAAACTGATCCGTAGCTGCCACCAGACTCTGTGGTATAACTCTTCTTGAAAAGAACCTGAGCGTTCTTCAGCGACCACAGGCCACAGAAAGCAGAGTTTTTCACTGGAGTCCCTTCCGCAGTGGTGATAAACTGGTGAATGCAAGTAATCAGAAAACTGTGAGAATCCAAAATTAGATGTTGTCTACAGATTTAAGTTCTGTGAGCTAATTCAAAGAAGTAAAAGGAGTGTTTAAACAAAAAAACTTCTGAAATTGGTCCAGTATCAAGCAAGACCACTGCAGCTGGCAGCAGCAAAATAGACTGCAATGTAACTACTCGGGCAATTTATGTCCACTAGAAGTGCTTGTTTTTTTTCCACTGACAGACAATGGTTTTCTTTTTTATTGTCTGACAACATTATGGAAAGGATCCCTCAGAGAGAGACCTTTTTGTTAAAGAGTAAGAGCCTTTTGGTTTACCCAGAAACAGCCAGGAAATCGGCATCATTGCAACCTGTAGCTGCCAGCTGCAGCCTTCTGGCTCAAAACTGGACCAATTCCAAAAATTGTTGTCTCCATTAGTCACTCAGACACAAAAACATGGGAAAGTAGGGCCCACGTTGAAAAATACCATAGTTACCATTTAAAACAAATGCTTGTCACATTTCTCATAGTAGGGTTTTGTGTCACTTACTTTAAAATTACAGATGACAGTTAATAAAAACAAAAATAAATCTGTTATTTTGTCCTAACTGACCTGAGAATTGTCATATTCAAAGTCTTTGAAGTATTTCACATCAGTTCCTTCAGTGGTCAGGATCTCCTCAGGACACTTGGCTTTCATCATGTCCTCCAGAGCCAACTGCACCTGTTTACACAAACTGGATTTTAGTATTGCTTCTACTTTTAATATCAGTTTCTACACAGATTGCCACATCTGCAATAACTTCAGTCCAACATGAGAATCTATTCTGACAATATAGTTTAGAACTAGTTTAAGTAATTAAGTGATATATTATTAAGTCATTATCTCAAGAACACTGATTATGAAACTATAGAATAGAGAGAGGATAAGGCTTATAGATACTGTATCTGAGCACACAGAGAGACATTTTTACACACAACAACAAACCTCAGATTCATTTGCATTAAAGGCGATGGGCTCTGTAGGGATCCCCCCCCACAACAGAGTGAAGGTCTCCATGTTGCTTCTGCCCTTTGTGATCTCAGCAACCGTGACAATGGTGTCTGCACCATAAACCTCAACATGAAGAAGTTCAAAATCTCCTGCAGGCAAAAAAAGACAGCTGGTCAATTCATTTATTGCACTTCTGCTGATAAAACTACAAATACAATCAGGTACACATATACCACACAGTGTAATAGTCAGTTACAAACATGCATGTGAATCAAGTGTAACAACCACACAAATGCAAAAGCATCCAGTTTTTCTGTGACTAGTTATTTTCTGTCTCTTCATACCTCTGTTAGAATTGAATGTGACTGTGTAGTGAGATCCTTGGCTGTCGTCCTGTTTGGTGACCTGGACTGTGTCGGGTTTGATGGACCAAAGTCTGTTTAAGGATGCTTCCACCATATCTGCTGAGGCGCTGACTGGAATCGGCCCTAAAAAAGAGAGAAAAAAACCCCATAGTTTATGAACAAGCAAAATGGCTGGTATATACTGCAATTTCTTTAGATTAGAGATTACAGGTTTTACTTTCATAGCTTCCAAACATGTATACAGCCGTGATATTTTAAGGTGATTGTTTGTGATTGTGATTATTTGTGGATGCTGAACAACAGTAGTTGTACTTTCATTATATTAATGTGCAAAACACAAACGCAACAAATTATTATTTTTTAAATGAATTAAATGTAAAGCTCATTACCTGTCATTGCACCTCCGTAGCTGAGGCTGAAGAAGGTGCTTCCACAAAGAGGGCTGGTACAGTTGCTGTTAACGGTAACCCTCTGGACCTCTTTGACTGTAGCAACACCGCTGGGCCAGGAATCAAAGGTCACCACCTGGTTAACAGTGACAGTGAATAAAGGTGGGGTACAAAAGTGAGAAACAGGTGTTAAATGTTGTACGCACTTTACCTCAACTTGTTATAATTTATAATTTCCTACATTCTTCAAAATGACTTAACAAACCTTGGGGAGTAAATGTGAGTTACAATAACATCAACATGAGGGTGAAGGGAGCAATAATTTAGCAATAACGCTAGCATTTTAACAGCAGGAGAACACAAATGTTTCTAGCCAAGAAAAGCAGCATTCTTTGCTTAAAATGCAGTTAAGGTCTGCAATGACTACAGACATCTGTATCTCTGCCTCTAGAAAATGCAACTGTGAAGCTCAAAACCGCCAGAAAGAAGGTCAGATAAAGCCCTAACTTATCAGAGGAAAGACAGAAACCTGTTCATGCTTAATTGTCATTAGCTGCTTTTAACAGAAGTGTTTAAAAATGCATTTTAGAGAGCACAGTAATTCATAATAGTTAATTTCTTTGTACTGACCAAAGGAAGCTTGAGAGGTGGAAAATACCGATTTTTTGTTTCACTGTAAACTCAGTATTGCCAACTTGGCGACTTTTTCCGCTAGATCAAGTGACTGTTTGGACCCACTTAGCAACTTCAAATTTAGCAACTCAATCAGACCATTTGGGGAAAAGAGATATATATATATTATAATTCACTCCCATACATGGTGCTAAGACTAATCGCAGTTGACGGCTCTTTTGCCATCAGCCCAGGGTCTCTCACCCTCTTTCCTCTTTCATTGTGCAGTATTGTAGGTGTGGGATAGGCAAGAGGAGAGGAGACGCTGCTCAAGACTGGAAATAGGGTAGCTGCTAACTAGCTCTGGTCACAGGATAAAAAGTCTGCTACAGTAACAGCTCACTAACAGCTAGGATAGTTTTTCTATAGGTGTCCGCTGAGGTTATAGCATCACCCTGGTTCTCTCGTCAAAAAGTCAATGGAATTTTTCCATTGGATTTTGGATTAGTACAGAAAATAGGCTCTGTGGTAAACAAACGTTTATAAGACTTACAAGTTTATGTTTATCAAGATAATCTTCACAAATGAACACTACTTTTATGATTGTTTTTAAAGCGTAAATGCAAATACCAGTAGTAAATAGCTAATGTTAGGCTGTAGGCTACACAAACTACACAACAGTCATATCTGGCATGATGACATTCTTTAGTCTCATTTAGCCACTTGTTAGCAACAGTCATTTTCAGGACATGTAAAGTCTTTAAAATGTACAAGTGGTGTATTTACTGACATATCTTATGTTGTAGAACAAAATGTGAAAGTCTCTTGAGCTTGGGCTAACCACCGACCATAATTCAGGCATTTAACCAAAATCCCTTTCAATAAACCATTGAATTTAAGACGAGGGATGCAGGAGTGCTAAAGGGACTCATTCCTGCACCATTCTATTGTTTGTTTTAATTCACACAACATCTGAAGCTTAAAAAGTTACTGTATGTGCTGCACTATTTCTCGATCAGGAGCATCCTTGGCTAGAGCATTGTTTCCAGTATTTATGCTAAGCTAAGATAACAGTCTCCTGGCTTTAGCTTCATATTTAGCAAACAGATAAGTGGTGAAGAGCTTCTTCACATCTAACTCAGCAAGAAAATGTCTAACCATTCCTTTAAGTATGGGTAGGCAGATAACCTGAGATGTGCTGTGTTTAACAGAAGCCAAAGGTTAACATAAGGTAAGCAACTACATACCTGTGTTTCATCATACACGTCATATTCAGCCACGATATTCTGAACCTCGTTGATAGCATGGTACGTCAGGTCTTCTGTAAAGGAACTCTCCCCTTGAAATAAGCCAACGTTGAGACTGGCTGCGCCTCCATATTCTTGCTGCAGAATTTCAATGTAGTAGCTACAGGACAAATAGTTTATTAAATCATTTTCAAGGGAAACTATAAGTTCACAACTATGGTGAATACGGTGTGCTATGAATTAATGAGCAGTAGTTTTTAAGAGCTAATTAGAGCCATTAGAGTCGTATACTTACTGTTTTCCTGCCTCTAGGGCCAATACTTCAGATTTTTGTGAGTCCCTTCTCATGAAATTTGTGACATAACCTGTCTGATACGCAACTTTAACCTGAGGTGGAGGTTATTAAAAAAAAAAAAAAAAACGAAGAAAAAAAATGAGCAGGAAAGATATGAGGATTTTATCACAAAATAATACAACATCTAAATTTCTTGAGTTATCTTTGTTTGTTTAAGATGGAAACATGGTGTGATTTGAAACCAGTAGGCCGGATTAATTTTGATTCAAACTCTTTTCATACCTTGTGTTCCGGACGGCTGGAGTTGCTAAGGTAGAGCTCACATCGGTCATCACAGTGGAGGTACATGGTGTAGTTGGCACTGGCTGGAGGGACGAAGAAGCCACTGACTTTTGAACTGAAATCATTAAGGTCAAAATCAAAGATGTGGGGTGTGGAGTTGATCTGCTGTGTCCAGTATCCAGTTGTGTTCTCATTGTAGCCCCAAATGTCAGTTAGGTATCTGGGTCTTGTCTGGTTCCACACCTCCATCTTCAAGCCTCTTCCACCTGGGTTAAAAATGGAAATAAATGGTGGTGTATCAAAATAAGAGCTGAAATGATTAGTTGATTAATCAAGGAATCAATGAGTCAACTAACAGTAGATTAAAGGTCCAGTGTGTAGGATTTAGCAGCAACAATTATTGAGGCTGCAGTGCTGAAACTTCTCCAGCGTGCCAAATGAGCAGGAGAACTACAGTGGGGATAAGAAAATGCAAATGGTACTGTCTGATGATGGCTAAGCTTGAGTAATGACGTTTAAAAGTAGCGGGCTGATCCACGGCTAAAGTGCCTTGTTAATATGCTGCTGAGCCTGTTGTCTGCAGCTGTCAATCTAACTGTGGCTGTTTCTGCTTTTACTCTTCCTCCCTGCGATGTCAGTAGACTCTTTTTTTTATTGAGGCAAAGTTGCTGACAAAGTTCTGCTAATTTGGTGATTATCACACTCCATTTCCTATACATTTTCATATTCTATCAATATTCTATAAACAAATTCTTCAAAATAAAAGTCCCCTGTTATATTAAGTAAAAGCTTTTATTGTGAAGCAGCAAAATAAGGAAACGTTGAGTTTTCATCAGCTGTAACTTAACAGAACTCCTATACAAATGAAAGCAAACTTGAAACAGTAAAATAAAGCAGATATCTTGAAGTACAAACAGGGACCCAAGAGAGAAACTAAACTATAAACTGCAGTTATTCAGTTAGGAGCTATGAAAGCACTGAGAGCTGAACATACAGAGACTTAAAAAAAAAAACGTTTTTCTCTTTGGTCTCTTGTGCAGACAGACATGAGCTGAGTCTTGCAACACATGCTTTATTCAGGGGAAGTAATTGGGTCATCGGGGGTTGGCTGCAGTTGATGAGATGGTCCATTTCAGGTGCATCTCACACAGCTCGGCATGTTAAAGCTCACATAGTAAACATAAATCTGTGCTGCATGGTTTGACTCAGCCAAAATTGCTAATTGAAAACTCCTAAAATACATAGTGATTCCTTTTTCCAGGTGATTATAAACTAATGAAAACATAGTTACGAATATCATATATAATTTCTGACAATTGATGCCCCTAAATCCTTTACACTGGACCTTTAAACTATTTGATAATCTTTTATCAGTCATTTTTTAAGCAAAAATGCTGAACATTGGTTAGAGTTGCTAAAATGTGAGAATTCACTGCTGTTATTTCAAATTTATGATAGCGTTAAATAGTTTTGGGTTTTGGATTACTGGAAGGACATAATAAGTCATTTGGGTTTTCTGAAATTATATTGGGCATTTTCCACTATTTTCTGACATTTTGTGGACAAAGCTATAAATGAACCAATAAAGAAAATAATCAGCAGAATAATCACATGTGAAACTATAGCTAGTTGCATTTCTACTCAGAAATTATCATTCAACAGATGCATGGCAAAGTGTCCAACTCCTAGAAAATATAAGGAGTAAATGTTGAATATATCCACAGGTGTAAGTAGCTTTTGTTTCTTTTGCAATTTAACAGTGTTTGTAGAATCCAACATGAACACAAGCTTGTAGTTGGAGCACTCTTTTGCATCCTGCATACTTGAATACATTCAAATTACATGGAGCACTCCGGAGCAATAACTTTTCTGACGCACTTTTCTTACAGTCGAAACTATATAAAAAGCAAGGAATTTATACGCTTACTGTTTGATTTCAGTCAGCCAAGATGACTTTAAATGTTTAGCTTGTTTGTTTACCAGTGTCTGTATCTGCTACTGACATCAGCTCTATAAAAGTCTTTCGCATGACATATGATCAAAAATATGTGGTTCTGTCACAATCAGATAACAGGTTATTTTGTTACAGTACACAGCACACCAAAAACTCCACCAAAGCCTCTAGATGTGATGAACTGTGACAAGTGATGGGATCATCATCTTCCAGACAACCAGGAGAGATGCTTTGAATTCTTCCAGTAGTTGAGTTGTCAGGTGGTGTTAATGCTGTGTTTTGAATAATGCTTCCACACAATGACAAATCAACAGGATGGATCAAGAACATTGGTTGCATCACATCAAAAGACAAAAGACCAGAAGGAGAAGAGGTGTGTTCTGACCTGGGTAGACTGTCATGTTGTTGTTCATCGCGTGTTTGGCGGTCCTGCACGTAATTCTGTCATCAGAGACACTCTGGATTTCACACGGCAGGCCTGAGGAAAACTCAAACATCAGTGACTGACAGCAACTCACAGTAACAAACACAAAGACACAATAGCACAGACACAAAGTACAGTTGTTGTAATCATCTTCTTGCTTGTTGCGTTGTTCAATTACCTCTAGTTATTGCAATGTCCATATTTTATCAATTTATTTGTGATATTTTGTTTCATAATATTTTGTTGTTACATGGTTGGTTGTTAGTGTTCTATTTTATAGTAGGCCTACATCAGTGGTTTCCAACCTGGGGGTTAAGAGATCCTTGACAGGAGAGGAGCCAGAATAAAATGTTTGCCACACAAATTAATCTTTGCCTCCATTCTACTAAGTAAATACATAATTTTGCCTCTCTGGGCTTCAAAAAATAAAATAAAATAAAATAAAATAAAAAAATCTCTCTTTGGTCACAACCCATGAATGGGAACAGTTTGGATTTTTTCAAGTGAGGTCATATGCAAGATTTTGTTTTAACTGTTGTGTGACTGAGTGTTTTAAAGGGGTAGTTCAGTTTCACTAAAGTCACGCAATAATTAAAACAAACTAACACATTCAAACCCCATTTAAAAAATCTGAGCTGTCCCATTTCATAGAATTTCTTAAAAAACCTAAATAGTCTGCTGTACAGATGATCAAAATTTGGAACCATTGTTGGATGTTTTTAAGATTTCTAACTTTAAAACATGGAAGTAAAAAAACGATGGAGTACTTTTATTCATCTGGCTGGTTACAGTAACACATGCTTTATCAGTAATATATATATATATTTTTTTTGAGGACATGAAGGTCTGAAAAATCTGATTAGGTCAGTTACATGAATAGGCATACTTAATTTTTGGACTTGTGCGCTGCCACTTGAAATTGTTTCTCTGGGTTCTGTATCTGGTTATATTAATATCTAGTGACATCTTTACAATGTGAATTGTATGCTTGTTATCTGTTGTACAACCATTGTTATGTAACCATCTATAGTATATGACTCTCGTCCTGTTTTGTCTTATTTTAAGAATGAAATGCAATCTATCACTTTATCATGGGCAATCAAGCATTTCAAAATCAAACACTTCAAGCACTTTATCTTGGACAGCCAGCAATAGCATCTTGCACTTTACCGGACATTCAAGCACTTCAAGCACTTTATTATGGAGAGTCAGCTACAGCATTTTGCTCTTTACCAGGCATTTTTGCAATAATAATCCAGTACTTGCATGCACAATTGCTTTATATGGACCTTCTGATATGATATTTTGTGGATTTTTTATGGACTTCCTAATATGAATTTTCAGCACATGCACTTTATAACTGTACGGGCATTGGTGCAATAGAATTTCACTAACTACATAATGTTGTCCCCAGCTCAGCTACACTGTCAGCTCTGTCATTATCATGTCTTGTTGTTGTTATGCCATGCCTTATTCTCCTCTGTTATACTTCTACTTGCTTTGATGTCCTTCCCTTTCTCTCTTCTCTTTCTCTCCCTGAACACCTACCTGCCAATGGGACAAGGGATTGAAATTAGCCGCTTGGCTACAATCTCTTACATATTTACATTGTTAATGTTCATTAATATGTTCTGTCCCATTTTCAAAAATAAACAAATAAATAAATAAAATAAAATAAAATAAAATGAAAATGTGATTACATGCCAGATTGTATGATTGTGTCGAAAAGTGCCGATTCATTCCTTTCCTGTCAAACATGTTCTTTTATTTTAAGTCAACAACATTAAATGACGCATGACGTCTGATGTAAGAATGTAACAGCTCACTTGTCATGGTCTTTTGTGTCTCTCGGCTTAAAAAGATTCTTTCCTGTCTGTCGTGCGACAACTCTGTTTTTTTTTTTTCAATTTGTTTGTTGTCAAAGCGTGCACAGCTTCTGTTTGTGTTAAAGAGGATTATCACCATTGCACGCCTTTAGGCCCCAACAGTGGGTTAGGTTTTGTTTTGTCCATTCATGCTATTTGAACACTCTGTACTGTGTGAATATAATATCAGAAAAGGAGTTGGAAACTGGCTTCAGCTGGTGAGTGGAAAGTTTCCATTCTGGTTACCTGCAATAAGAACACGTGCTGGGTGATCAGTTTCGTCGAAATAGCGACCGTGGATCGTCAACAGGGTTCCACCCATGACACTGCCCGTGGATGGGGAGACTCCTGTCACCTCTGAACCAGAGACATAACAAACACTTCACTGTAATAAGAATAAATACTACAGATAAAGTACTTTATGATGAACCAACAACACAGTCTCACAGAAATACGTCAACAACCTCTTAACAATGCATTATACAGCAGTTTTTCCTTATCTGCTGTGAGGGTCCAAAAGACAGAGGGATGTCGTATGCTGTAAAGCCCTCTGAGGCAAATTGTGATTTGTGATATTGGGCTTTATAAATAAAATTGAATTGAATTGGGCACGAAATGTGTTAAAATTATATGCTGGCAACACACAAATCATACTAATGCAAAGTCTATTACAAACTGTTGCAGCTTCGTTGTGAAACAACTGCAGTTTGGCTAGGTTTAGTGAACATAAAATACTTGGTTAAAGGTCCAGTGTGTAGTATTAAGGGGCATCTGTTGGCAGAAATAGTATTTAACAGTTTTCACTGGTTTATAATCACCTGAAAATAATTGTGTTTTCGTTACCTTAGAATATGCCGACCCTGTCACAATGTTTTTACAATAACCTTCAGGTAGAAAACCTCCTGCATCACATACATAAAATGTAACGGCGCTGAGGACCTCTCTGACTTTGCATTGGCATTGTTTTCATGCCAACGCATAATTTAACACATTTCATGCAGACAACTATGCAATGCGCTGCTAAGATTTTGTGTCTATGTCACGTCACATATTTCTATGAGACTGGACTGGAACAAATGTATTCCTGTCCCTGTCCCCTGTCCCGTACCTGCATGGGTCTGAAACATGGAGAACTTGTTCAAAGCTGAAACCATGTACAGGTTTTGTTCTGGTAAACTCCTAAGGTTAAAAAAAAAATCATATTATTACAGTTGTTTATATAATAACGTTGTTTATTGAAACAATTTGTCACCAAGAGGAAATCTTCAGCAGCTGTCTCTTTCTCAATATCTATGCATTTTTCACACAGTGGTTAGAGAACTATAAAATTATAAATGTCATATTAAAACTTTAGACTTAAGTTCAAATGTAAAGGCATACAGAAATTAGAGTTAACGTTAAGACTAATGATTTAACTGTGGTTTACCTTCCATAATCAGCATCATGAATGAAACTTATGTTGTGATGCCCTGTTGGAAACAAAACATAATTATTAAAGGACAGGTTGTACAGTTTCAAAATTGACCTTTTTTTTAATTGTATATTTAGAGCAGCTGTAATAATGAACAAAAACAACTTACCAATGTACGTCCCCGTTATTTTGCAGCTCATTTCTCCATAAACAGAAGTTTCAGAGTCCAGTCGTAGGTTATATCTATGGAAAATATTTGAAAACATTTCATACTGTAATCTAAATTTATAAAAGTATTTATTTAATTACGGTTCCTTTTTTTTAAACACAACTTCACACAAAATATTTCCCTGCAACTGAAGTTGTGAGATAAATCTAAACTTGAATTCATATGTTTAATGTCTAAAGTGTGGTGCATTTTGTTGTGTTTTTACTGTTATTTTATTTAAATGTAATCTACAATTAGACAAATTACTTACAGTTCATCTGAATTGGGTTGGAGCAGCTCGCATGGCATCCCTCCCATGTAGGCTCTGCAATATAAAAAAAAAAAAGATCATATTCACTGATCAATTACAAGAGAGAGTTTGTATCTAAACAGTATATTTTAATGTTTAAAGACACTGGTAGTTGATGAGTAAGCAAATAAACCTCTTCTGCAACTCCCAGTCTTATCTTAAAACAAATGAATAAATGTCAGTGAGATCATTTCAACTGTTGGGTCAGTCAGCCTTCTTTAGTAGGATATTGACACTATACCGGCGTCATACAGTCAGCAGCTAGACGTGTCACTCATTTAATAAAATAAATATTTTAATGCTTGGGTGAGATTAGATATTTTATAGCAGTGATAAGCAATTTATGGCTCTTGGACCAAATCTGGCCTGCAATTGGGTGCCGGTGGCCTGCTGGCCATTTTCTATTTTACAGTGACACCTGACTGATTCACACATTTTTTTTTATTCTGAATATAAATAAAGTGCCTGAGTGAAAAAAAAACTGTAAAATGATGGGTGACCATCACCCATTGGTTTGTGTATCCCTGTTTTAAAGCCTCCAATTCAGCATTTCTGGCTAAGATGAGTGAGGACAGCAAACACTGAAAGGATGAAAACAGGAGATTCATTTATTATACTGATAATATTAATAATGCTATTAACTGACCCGGCCTCCTGTCATTTTGCACAAGTGGCCCCAGGGCAAAGCAAGTTGAGTATCCTTGCTTTACAGTAATATGAACATTTTAAGTTATTTGTTTTATTTTATTAATACCTCAGAAATCTGACATTGCGGCCATTGGAGCTCTTCTCAGTGTTGCTTCCATACACATTAGTGTAGATCCGTCCTCGCACTGTCACCACGGTGCCTGTAGTGATTTTGAGGTGGGTTAAATATACAGCTGAATATGGACTCTGTAAATGAACTGCACGCTATAGATGTAAAGATATGTACCTGGGGGACCACTGAGTGGACTCAGCTTGGTGATAGTAGGCGTGCGATACCACACAGTCTGAGAAAAGTTATAAATAGGAATGGTTAAAAAAAAAAAAAAATCCAAATTTGACTGCAGGATGAATTGATTTTTAAGTGAAGGTATCTGTGATGCTTGAGCTGCAAACTTACATAGAAGCTGCAGCTGCCTGAATTGGGCACACCATTGCACAAATTGCTGTTAGGGATGGGAACACCGTCCACACTGACACGGACCATATAGTGATCATTCGGCATGGGTCTGTGATGGACAAAATGAATCATTTCAGATAGATATACACATTAAGTGACTCATTAAAAATGTGTTTACTTAAGGGTCTCCTTGGCCTGTAAGGCTACCTGGTGTAACATGTGATCCGGTTGCCATGTGTTGAGTCTCTCTCCACATCACAAGGGATTGTCCTGGTATCTGACACAAAGGTCACACGGTTGCCAAAAGTGTCGTCTGCTGGATTCAGCTGGAACTGGTTCTCCTGGGCAAAACCTGAAAAAAGAATAAATGCAAAAATGTTTTTGCTGGATAAAGGAAGTATACATACAGACTAAAAAAGCCCTGGAGGATTTTGTTTAGCATCATGACAACTGGTGAAGTTAAGTCCCACAAGTAACACTAAGGCTGGGGTATACGTAGACAATATTCTGATATTTTTTACCTAATCCCTTCGCATTGATATTGCAATGATCTTGTAGACTGTTGGTGCTTTCAGAAAATATTTACAAAAGATTTAAAAACTTTATTTTCATTATGCAAGCATAACAGAAATGCAAACGTATCATCCTAAAATGGTGCATTAAAAAAAAAGAAAAAGAAAAAAAAAACACACATATTTGCATATAGAATAAGGCACAAATGTGAGAGATAATAAACGGTCATTAATAAAATGTAAACAATATAACTACAAAATATAAGCAATTTTAAGTGTTAAAAAAATATATATGTAAAAGCACAACTGATGAGAGTACAAGCATTAACAGCAGCAGCAGCAAAGTCCAGTACGTGCGGTACACAATGTACACAATCAGATCTTTGATAAATAATCATCATATTAAAAGTTTGGTTTGAGGTCCTCCCCTTGGAAATTTTGAGCATCAAACACTTTATTACCTGCTTTCTGGTGAATTTTTCTGCAAACATTAATTCATTTTCTGGTTCAGTTTATGGTGAAAATGTCTTAAATTTCATAAAAATAAAAGGCTTTTGCTATTTTCATGTTTTTATTGGGGGGGCGACAAATCAGGCTGTTCACACAAACTGTTCTGATGTTTTCCTAAGAAAAGTGGATGCATCCAAAGATGTACATTTCCCACGTAAGCACGGGCCAGCAATTCGTGAATAAACCACATATTTTGGAAGTTTGTAATCACGTGACCAATACACTGATGGGAGCAAACAAAGAAGCGGCCCAAGCAGTCTTGTAATGAGGCGGGTTGGTGGTGGAAGGGTCACTAAACCGTGGACTTACCCCTACGACTTTACCGAGGAGATGCGTGTTTGGAACTGTGTGAACTTTAAGTGAACTTTGAGTCATTTTAAGGTACGTCTTCACCATGTTTCTTTCCCTAAACCTAACCACAGTAACATTACTTGCCTAAACCTAACCTCCTTTACTTTATGTTTAAGACGTAACATCATTTGTGGGGCGCATATTCGTAGGATATCATAAGAACCGTTCTATGACAATACGTTGGACAGATGGATATGTTCTAAGTATTGAGGGGAATATGTCCCCTGTGCCCCCCAAAATCTACACCTATGGTAATCTGGATATAATGACTAAGTGGGTAAAAGCCAAACAATAGAACAGCTGAAACAGTCTGGTAATTTCAGAAAATAACATCTCTTTATTGCAATGCAGCCTTTAAAAACACGAAAAGACAACACTTATGATATTATAATATTCAAAATCTAATAACAATATCATGTTACATTGCCCAAACATTAGTTGCACATGGGAGAAGTTTGCCTTTTTTTTTTTTTTGCAGAAATTGCCCTTTTTTGTAGGAATCTATTCATTCTAACCCAAAATAAAATACTAAATTGCACCACAGCCACCCCCCTTTTCTGATCAGTAAAGAACAGTCCCTTACCATAAACAAACCTGTGAACACTGTAACCTGTTTTGTCTGAGGAATAAATCTCTTACCGTCTCCATCAATGACGACATGTGTTGCTCCATTGGCGCTGCCAATATGTGGAGTTATGTAGTAAACTTGTTGAGCACCTGAAATAAACACAGCATGCATTAATTAAGATCTATGTTAGAAATAAACCAACATACACGATCTTTTCCCCCTTGCAGTTGGCTAGTGGTGACTTGTTAGGAAATGTGGGTAGTTTCTGCATTAAATGAGGCGCTAACATACATCCACGAGGAATTTCATTAGGAAAAAAATGCAGATTTTATTAACTTTTATTATTACTGTACTTTGTAAGTAGTTACTCACTGCAGCAGCTCCAGAGTGCGAGGAGGAGAGCCGCCAGCTTCTTCGGGGACTCCATCCTGGAGGTTTTCCCAGATTTCCCTGCTGCTTCACCTGCAGTCTGAAGTGATGGTGTAACTTAACGTTAGCTGATGAAGTACTTCTTTAGTAGCGTTTATACTGCCTGTCACACAATGACGCAAATCCCTTCATGGATATTTCACAGCTATAGCCATTAAACTGATTGATTAAATACATGACACTAAATATGTAACCATCAGAAGAAATGTTTAAAATATTGATGTTTCAAAATTAAAACGTGATATAAAATGAATAAAGCCCACCTGATGAAAACGACGTTTATTTGTTGGATGTACCAATGGTCCACAAAGATCAAGAGACACACTGCCTTTTCCTTCTCTCTGCACAGCGCACTAACTCTTTATGAAGCTGCTCAGTGTTCCGCCCGTCACCTGAAACTGGGAGGAGACTGGTGTGATCAACCCATTCTGATGCCATGTTATCATCCACCACCATCACTAGCGTCACCACCGTCACCACAGTCTGGATCTGTAGCTGAAATCTATCTAAACCAGATTTGTTCATTAGCTATAAGGGAAGACAGCTGGGTCAAAAAAAAATACGATGAGTAGCACGCTCGATGAAAGGGAATCTAAATCTTGACTTTGATGGGAGTAAAGAGGAAGTAGGGGAACTATAAAAAGCCCAAAGTAGATTCGTCAGAAGTCTGTCAGTCATCCATGTTTTGCTGGTCAAAGTGACTGGAAAAAAACTGAACACTGAAACAGATAAATCACTGGAAAAAAACATCCACCTTTCCACTGTACACCTGTACATTTGCTGCAAACCAGTTTAACTGCAGGGCTGTTTGATTGTAGTAAACTGGTTTTCAAGTTATTGTGTCCAACCTACTATTTATCATTAGAAACGTGACATTTACAAAACATAAACACAGTATTGGTTGTTGTCTGTGAAAGTGGACAACAGGGGCTTTACTAGGATTTAGGACATTGGGGGCTTCACCTGGAACTCTGTAGGGGGGGGATGTTCCCTGGGAATTTTATTTATGACCAAGCTCTGTTTTTATGGTTTATTTATGCACACTACCATCTTATTTAACGTATTTAGTTATGAATTGTGACGTTAAAAATATTAGTAGTAGTTGTTAGTAATTATAAGTATTGAGTAGAAACAAAATACTTTGCAACTGCTATCATTAAAATGTAAAGCATTTTGATATACTTGTACTTGAGTATTTCCATTTTATGCTACTTTATTCCACTCCTCTACATCTCTAAATGTATATATATATATATATTTAGGGCTGAAGCCTCAGATGCCCAGGCCCAATGCCACTGGTGGACATATTTGTGACAAGACAAAACAGACAAACATGGTTTAAGGGGTGGACAAAATAACACGAACACATGGCACTACTGACAGCAAATAAATTACAGCTCGATGCTTTAAATGTCCATTATTGAGGCACATTTGTCAGATTGTTAAAATGGTAGGAGGTTTCTAGTTTCAAATTCAAGTTTAAGTTTATTCTGTTATTTGAGTTGTGAAAACAAACATTTAAAAGGTGGTAAGGTTTCTTTAGGAGTGGAGTATAAAACTGACATATCATCAGACAAATCTAAAAGGATCAAGACAAAAGCCTAAATCATTTAAAGTGTATGGGTTAAAGAAAACCTGAGTGCATGTTATGTATGGGGATGCATTAGCAGCAGAGGCCCATGGTGGCAATCTACACAAGAAGCAAGAGGAGGTACCATTGGCCGGCCTATTATATCACTACCAGAGAGGTCATGACAGTAGGCGGCCATATTTTCTGAGCTTACATCACTTAAAATTCTGAGCAGTACAGAGTTTGGACAAAAAGAAATGCAGGTATACATAAAACCCAGTGTTATGTTTTTTTGGGCTGTTTTTTTTTTTTTTTTACTTTTTATTTCAGTGTATAATATTGGTCGGGTTTTCCTTATATTTTGTCCACAACCTTTATGTACACATAAAAAGCTTTTGAATTGTGCAACATACCATACGATTCCTATAGATGTTTTAATGGTAAAATCAACCACATTATGGGTGTATAAATTATATAAATGATATCTGACATGTGCTGTATGTAGGTGGACTATTGTGTCAATAAACTGAATTACAACACTCTGCAGCTCAGGTGTGTCTATGTATAATTTCAACACCAAATGTTGTAACAACCACCAAGCACACCAAACCAAAGACAGGAAGTCTCTGACCTTTCATAACATACAAAGTAGCAGTGTATTATTAGTTAATCATGACATGCTGTACAGACAGAAATCAGACTATTACAGTAACCACAGTGTTAGTCATCACAGCTGGTCTTTGTCATTGTCTTGTCTGTGCTCTTATCACTTATATCCTCATTTCCTTCAACACTTCTACTGAGAATAAGGAAGAGTTACATCATTTCCTGTATTTATAAACCCTGACCTCTCCAAAATGCAATTAGGGAAACATTGTCTTGAGGTTTTCAACCAACTAACCATTTGTTTTTCCTGGTGCATAATGAACATTACAGGCTCCTTGAGATGCTAAAGGGGCAGTGGACTCTTGTTCTTTCTTATAACAGCTGTGAAAAGCTAGGAGTTTTGAATGGCTTTATATTTTTTAAGCAAATATCAACTTTTTGTGTTTGATGCATTGTCAGGCAGGACTATAGCTCATAAAAAAAATGACATCAGGGACAGAAATCTGATTCTCTGACACAGAGGGAGGACAACTTTGCAACTATAGCAACCTCAAGTGGTGGTGAGACATTACTGTTAAGGTCTTTGAAAAGTAATGTGATAAAAAAGTATTGCACAGCTTTATACAACATTGCATTCACTACACGTATGTGACACATAAAACCTCTGAATTCTTGGATCCTTTAATCTAAATATAGTGTTGCACCCTACAGTGTATTATTTCAAATATGTTAAATGTGTTATGACAGAAGGATTTGGATTGAGTAAGAGGTGTTTATGTCTGAATATGTCAGCACTGGGAGACAGGGGAATGTTGTCACACAAGAAAAAGTTGATGTTTCTCTTTTTTATTCAGTCAAAAACATAATCATATTTTGTACATTTTCATATTCAAACTACACCAAACCACCTTTTCCTTCTGAGCTTATAAATACAATAATAATTATTTTCAAGGCATGAAACAGACAGCATAGTTACATAGGGTCTGCATCTCAGCTGGCAATATAATTGGAAAAAATAGGCCTTTATCAAAGCAGACGTTTTAAATTATCATGGTGATAATAAACTGGTGTTTAGAAACACAGATGGGCCCCTGCCAGCTGACAGATTCAAACTCAGAACCCTCTTGCTGTAAGGCAACAGGGCTAACCTCTGCACCACCATGCCACCTAAACTTAGCTAATATTAATTTGGTTCAATCAGGAGAGACTTTTTTAAGAGTGACTAATAACTTATTACATAGTGCACAATAAAAATGAAAAGTGACAAGTTCTTTCGCAATTAGAGCCCATTGTGATGTGTATATTTAGGGGTAGAGATGCTGTGGTTAATTTGGGAATATTCCCCCAATGGAGTCTAGACACTGTTGGTGGAGGTGAAGAGAGGAATGGCTGAAAGATGAAGATGATGGGATGAGGAGCAGGACAGGGCAGTGGATGTGCTGAATACTGGAGGTGAATGGGGTGGAGGAGGGTTGCATCTGCTCATGATGAAATGACAACAGACAGCAGCAGAGAAATGAAGGGTTTTAAACTTGACAGCACCTATATGATTAGCTTAAGGAGACCGTGGCAAACGTGGTTGGATTAATTGAGTGAGGACCATAGTCAGCTGATAGAGTAGAGGCAGAGAGATTTCTGAATGAAATGAGAGCGTATGAGAGTCTTCCTGACTGAACTTTGGCTACACTTCATTTATTTACCCTATGCTTTTTGAACTGTGATGTGTCAGAATGTCTTCAGTCAAAATGGCCTATTAGTTTGTAGGTCTTTAGCTTTGCAGTGCTACTGTTTACAGGCTGCCTAGGTCCATCAAATATGTTATACATGCTAGATAAGGGTTTATTGACTACAGTTTTATTTATTGATAAATTATTACATTGAAGAATGGTTCTTAACTGAGGTCCAGGGACCCTCGGGGGTCCTTGAGGGAGTTCCAGGGAGAAATAAGGGGAATAGTTATTTTTTACCATTCAATTTATCATAGAAGTGAGTCCAATGTGAGTAAGTAGAAGTAATAGTGACTATTCTGATCATAGGTTTCACTTCCTCCACAGTTATCCCCTTAACAACTATAGAATTATTGTTGTAATCATAATCATTATGTTGTATCATAATCTAACAACCAAAATCTTTTCAGGTGGAGTTTGCTGAAGCAAAATCTTATCTTAAATCTTAAATGGGGGTGTGTGACTTAATTTGTTCTATTTAAATGGTCCGTGATAAGAAAATTGTTGACATAGAGGACGGTGGTGTGTGGTAGATGTTTAACTCACTTCACAGTTGCTCACAGGTGCCTCCGGGCTGGAAAAGCCGATTGCTTGAAAAGATGTTGTGCATTCTTACAGAATGTCCATGAGAAAAACAGTAGAGACCCACAACCAGTTATGTCAGGAAGATAATGGTTATTATGTCACTTTCTTTTGTTGTCATTTTTAGCTTAAACCATCAAACGTGTTGTTTTACAAGAGGAGGAGGAGACAATGACAATAAAAAACAACCTATGCTATACTTAGCACCTTTCATGTAAGATATGCAGCCCAAAATGCTTTACAACAAAGGCATTATAAGGATTGCTTCACATGAAAACTGACATAATATGCATAAAACAGACAAGGCAATTCAATATAAAGGGACATTTAAAATTAAAACAAGGATCAACTGATTTAACAATTTAACTTTGAATTTGTGAGACAGGGTTATAGTGACTTTGGCAGAGACAAGTTATGTTGATGAACAATTACTGCGCAGTGCTCACTACACATGAGATCATCTTGGTCACATGAGATGAGATACACCAACAGAACTACATGAGCAAGTATCACAGGACAAACAGCGAGCCTGTTAGCTCAGGAAGGATTCTGGGGAAGTTGTGGTGCAGATTTAAAGCCACATCCTTTATTATTCCACTAAAGGTGTTAGATTACATGTTTGTGGTCAAATATTAAGTTGAGACTCAAATTGCGGAGGAATTATAAACACCATTAAGTGATTCTGGTTGAAATTACTGGACACAAGTTTTGGTCCAAAGTACCAAAATCCCATTGCAAGACAAGTGATAAGACATTAACAGTATGTGAGAAAATCTTTCGATGTTTATTTTGGGTTTGCCTTAAGCCTCTCAGACAACTAGATGTT